CTCGACGTGCTGCAAAACTTGTTTAAATTCTCGTCTTACTACTGTAATAACTGTTCGACTGTGTGATAGTATTGTTGTGCTTTATGGCTTGTTTAGTGTGAGATCCCACGTCGGTTGGAGATGAAAACGAAACATTATTTATAAGGGTGTGGAAACCTCTCCCTAGTAGACGCGTTTTGAAACTGTGAGGCTGTGGGTGTTGCGTAACGGGCTAAAACGGATGATATATGCAAGCGGTGGGTTTGGGCTGTTATAAATAGTGACTGGTGTGAGACACTAGTCGGAGTAGGGCTAAACCCTCTCCATAGTAGACGTGTTTTAAAACTTTGAGGGAAGTTCGGAAGGGAAAACCCAAAGAAGAAAATATTTGTTAGCGGTGGGCTTGGGCTGTTACGTTTAGATTCTCTTCAACTGTCCCGGTGTGCTTCATGACTTATAAGGGTGCGGAAACCTCTCCCTAGTAGACACGTTTTATAACCGTGAGGCTGAGAGCAATGTGTAACGGGCTAAAATGGACAATATCTACTAGTGGTGAGTTTGAGCTGTTATAAATGGTGATTGGTGCGAGGTACTGGTTGGAGTAGGGCTAAACCCTCTCCATAGTAGACGCGTTTTAAAACCTTGAGGGAAGTTCGGGAGGAAAAACCCAAAAAGGACAATATCTGTTAGTGGTGGGCTTGGACTGTTACATTTAGATTCTCTTCAACTGTCCCCGTGATTTTGATCGCACTAGGGGCTACGTTAACGAAATTGCGGTCTATACTAAACTAATATCTTCTCCATTTTCTTGTAGATGGAGCTCATTTCTAGATTACGGAATCCATTTATCGTTGAGTACAAAGACTCTTGGGTCGAGAAGGTAAATCGAACTATTGTTGTTTAGTATTGCTATCTACTCTTAAACACACGGTTTTACGACATCAATGACAGATGGTTAACTAAATGCCTCTTATTCTTAAACCGTTCTTTCTTACCATTTGATTTCTTCGGCTCATCGTTGTAACGATATGGTTTAAGTTCGGTCTGTTATTTCTTTGTCGACAGGGTTGCTACGTGTGCATTATTATCGGTTATTGTGAAGGAGGGGACATGTCAGTATTCTTCCAGCTCAATGTCTATTATTTTTTGTGATCCTTATCTATGTAGCTTATACTTATTCGAATTTTACAGGGCCGATGCGATAAAGAAGGCTAACAGTGTTCACTTCCCCGAAGAGGTTCTCGTGTTCTTCATTTCGTTGCTACGAGAGTCGTCAAAATTTCATTGAAAATGTTTTTTGGGTTTGTTTAGTACAGCTTATTCATCTCTCGTCTCCGTTTGCAGAAGCTCTGCAAGTGGTTAGTTCAACTTTTGATGGCGCTCGATTACTTGCATATGAATCATATCCTTCATCGGGATGTTAAGGTTCGATATACATTCATCTTTATAGTGTTTGAATGTACCGAGGCGCTCGAGTACTTGCATATGAATCATAGTTAGTCAATGCAAACGATGGCAAGCGTTTTCCTAACTATCTATATCGTGTGATCTGTACAGTGTTCGAATATATTTTTGACTAAAGATCGAGATATACGCCTTGGTACGTGAAATCTTTCTCCGTTTCAACCAATATAAGGAAAATTGTCGATTGAGCGTACTATTGATAAGAATTCACATATGTGGAACAGGTGACTTCGGACTAGCCAAAATGTTGACGTCGGATGATCTTGCCTCCTCGGTGTGTAATTTGAATCGTAAATTTGTTTTCATAAGAAATTCAATTACTAGTATAAATTCTGTATCTGAATACGAGCCTTGTTCAACTGTGCCCACAGACCCGTAAGCCCTCGAGGCAAGGCAAAAAGGAAGAGATGTTTGATATCTTACTAATGTTCTTTAAAACGCTTGGCTTGACAATACAGGTCGTAGGAACTCCGAGTTATATGTGTCCAGAACTTCTTGCTGATATACCTTATGGTTCGAAGTCGGATATTTGGTCTTTAGGTAGGAATGGCTGAACTCGACTTGACCGTGAACCTTATTTGGCGTATCGACTGAAAATTATTCTGTTTTGTATCTGTTTGCCAGGATGCTGTATATATGAGATGACTTCTCTAAAACCTGCATTTAAAGCATTTGTAAGTTTCGTACGCCATTTGTTCTCGTCTTGAAAGGATTTAAATTATTGATTTTTCTACCTAGGGGTTCGAGTCGAGGACGTGGGGGGAGGAGGGGTATCTTCATGTATATCAACTAAGACCACCCATTGATCCCACATCGGTTGGAGAGGGGAACGAAGCATGCCTTATAAGCGTGTGGAAACCTCTCCCTAGCAAGCGGGTTTTAAAAACCTTGAGGGGAGGCCCGAAAGGGAAAGCTCAAAGAGGACAATATCTACTAGCGGTGGGCTTGGGCTGTTACAAATTAGTAATGTTGAGTGAACACTATGATAAAAAATGCCCCGCACCACCCCCCGGAGAACGTGTAAACATATATTGGTGGTCTCGATTCCCAAATCCAATCACTTCCCTTTCCAATATCATTTTCTTTTATGCTTTCTAGTCCTTGTTCTTCTTCCACGTTACACAACACATTCATTTTAAGTACGATATTGAAAATAGGTAACTTTTCTTTCGAAGCTTTTTATAACTACCCAAACCCATCGCTACCAGATATTGTTCTCTTTGGACTTTCCCTTTCAGATTTCCCCTCAAGGTTTTTAAAACGTGTCTGGTAGGTAGAGGTTTTCACGTTCCCCTCTCCAACCGATGTGAGATCTCACAATCCACCCCCTTGGGGGGCCAACGTCCTTGCTGGCACTCGTTCTCGGGATCTCACGATGCTTTTAGTGTCGATGAGTGTTCTGGGTTTGACGTTCGGACTTTCTTTTGGGCAGGATATGCAAGCACTTATCAACAAAATTAACAAGTCCGTAGTGGCTCCTCTTCCAACAAAATACTCTGGTGCATTGTAAGTTTCCCTCCTCTTTTGACCCTTCTTTTTTATCTGCACTATTGCTGATCTAATCGCTTTCTTCTTTGATTTCCAGTCGAGGTCTCGTTAAAAGCATGCTACGCAAAAACCCGGAACTTCGGCCGAGTGTACGTTTATCCTCCTCTCGTACTCTACTCTGATATAAACTAAAGAAAACCATCCAATAGTCTATCTGATCTATCCAATCCTCGAGTTTCGTATTCAATAGTCTATCTGATCTATCCAATCCTCGAGTTTCGTATTCAATCAACGAATACCATATGGATAGAAATCGCTCGGTTGGGGAGGAGAACGAAATATTCATTATAAGGGTGTTGAAACTTCTCTCTAGCAGACGCGTTTTAAAAACCTTGAAGGGAAGCCCGAATGAGAAAGCCCAAAGAGGACAATATCTGTTATCGGTGGGCTCGGGCGATTCGATATGTTTTGTATTAGTCACTGACTTCGTACATTTTGTTTGGCAGGCTGGGGAGCTACTTGACCATCCTCATTTGCAGCCTTATATTGTTCAGATTCATCTCAAACGGAATAATCCGAGACGCAATACGTTACCAGCACTCTGGCCTGAACCACCTAATTATATGAAGAAGACAAGGTTCTCAGAGCTCTTGCCCAATAAACGACATTCGTTAACCAACGATCGAGCTTTAAATCCAAGCGTTTCTGTAATAGAATACGATTCTCTCAGCTCAACACAGGATATACACGATACACAAAACTACCCAAGTTACAAACCGTCTACTGGTGCCACTCGTGGCGGAGTAGGGGTTCACAAGACACCTTCGAAGTCTGCAGCTAACCCGAAAACTTCACGGCTTCTATCGAAAGCTTATGCCACTCCGAAAAAATGGGACGAACCATTGAAAAACAATAAAAAGTTGGTGAGTAGAAGTTGATCTTTAAAGTCTGGATAGTCTAGCTTTTTCGATACGAACTGAGACGTTATCTTTGTTTACTACAGCTACCGGTTTCATCTACTACTAAATCTCATGTTCGTCGGGCATCATTTCCGTTGCATACAAAAGCTATCACTGATCAAAGCCCTTGTAGACCGAATGTTGGTATTCTTCATCATATGAACTCTCCAGACGTGTCGGTGAATTCTCCGCGAATCGACAGGATTGCAGAATTCCCTTTAGCATCGTACGATGATTCCTTTCTTCCTGTTCGTCGAGCTTCACTGCCATCCATGCATGGATCAACCGGCTCGGTGCAGCATATTGATTGTTCGATGACCAAAGACAAATGTACAATCCAAGTTTGTGACAAGGTTTGTTCAACTCCTGGATACACCGGCGCATGGCAGGGTATACAATGCAGCTTATTTCAAGACGACCGAGAAGCTAGAAGTGATTCCTCGGATCAGAATGCAACCGCAGGAGCATCGAGCCATACTTCATCAGATTTACGACGACGCCATTTCGATACTTCATCATTACAACAGAGAGCCGAGGCTTTGGAAGGTCTGCTCGAGTTTAGTGCCCGATTGCTGCAGCAAGAGAGGTACGAAGAGCTCGGAGTGTTATTGAAGCCATTTGGACCTGGAAAGGTCTCCCCAAGGGAAACTGCTATCTGGTTGAGTAAGAGCTTCAAAGAAAACACTGTCAAGCAGGAAACGTAAACCGCTCTCGTAACTATGGTAGAATTTTTAAGTGTATGATCTAGAGTCGTTACATTTTCTCAAGGTATATTTGACACCTAGGCAGATTCCGAGAAGACGATAAGAATATCTCGTCACTGTAGATTATAATTCTTTTAGTTCGATAGACGACGTAACGAGTAGCAGTTATTCGTCATTCTTAGTTTTAACTCGTCGGTAGTAGTAGATGATATGCAGTTCTGTTGTAGGAATGTAAATTTACAACAGTTTAGATGGCTAAGATGGTCTCGGTTTCAGTGGCTGTTCTTTTAATGTCGACGTGGTTCGTCGGGGCAACTAAATTTTCTGCTCGTTGAATCGCCATCGCTATTCTTGGACGATTTTGTTAACTGATAAAGCTTCATGAACCAGGTGTGGCTGTGACTTTCATAACCATTATGTTTCATTTTTGTAAAGCACTTTCTGCTTGCTTGCACTTTGGCCAGGCGCTCGAGCCGGGTCGCTGTCTTGGTTCACTTTGCGACCGAAGTTTTGCCCTCGAGGACTCTGTCTTGGCCATATAATTTGGATAGCAGGGATACTCATCAGGCACGAAGTCTGAATGCCTTGGCGGATCCATGGAACATAATGTTCTGTTAGTAGTTGATTTCGACATTAAAACATAGTACTCGGAACTGTTTGGTTCTATGGAAATGGAGTGGTTTTTGTGCTGATGTTGTCTCGTCGGGATCAAAAGATTTCGTCGACAAGAACAAGCATTTGGTCCGTTCTTTATCTGTTCAATTTGAGAATGAGTTATATGGCCACTTTTGCTCTTATATGGTCTCCGAGTTTCGTCGAGATTCATGTTTATCGTCTCCTAAATTAGGAAAACAAAAAAGTTACGAAGTGAAAGAAATGGTATGAAATAAACAATGAAGTTTACTTTGTATACTTTGTCGAGATTGGTGTTAGTGAGATGTTCATGTCGTCGCCTTTCGAGAAGCTCGTGGTCCTCCTCGAGCAGCTGGATTCGATTTGCCCGAGCTCGAACTTGGATTGCCATAAGAGCTTGCAGGCTCTTTAGGGTAGCAGCTGTTTGTTTCCTCACAAGATAACCTCTCACAAGGGCTTGTATCTTGGCATAGTAAAACGGAAGAGGGGCGACGAAACTCGGTTGGTTACTAGAGACGAGTAAGAGTCAGGGACGTTCTCAATATGAGAGCTGCATTTGTCTTGTTCCACACATAGAACGTACACGCTGACACCTTACATCTAGACATAGTAAAATGCGAGAGGGATGAAGAAACTAGATTGACTACCAGAGATGAGCAAGAGTTAGGGACTTCCACATATTGTACGTACACTGGTACCTTACATCTTGGCATAGTAAAATGGGAGAGGGATGAGGAAACTGGATTGGTTAGTAGAGACGAGTAAGACTTAGGGACGTTCTCAATGTGAGGGCTGCATTTGCCTTGTTCCACATACATAACGTACATTGACACCTTACATCTTGGCATAGTAAAATAGGAGAGGGACGAAGAAGCTCGATCAACTACTAGAGACGAGCAAGAGTTAGGGACGCATTTAACGTGAGGGCCGCACTTACCCTCTTCCACATACTGAATGTACACCAACACCTTACATCTTGACATAGTAAAACGGGAGAGGGACGAAGAAGCTCGATTAGCTACTAGAGACAAGCAAGAACCAAAGACGCAATTAACATGAGGGTCGCACTTGCCTTCTTCCACACATTAAACGTACACCGACACCTTACATCTTGACATAGTAAAACAAGAGAAGGACAAAGAAACTTAACCAGCTACTAGAGACAAGCAAGAGTCTAGAATGCACTCAACGTGAGGGTAGCACTTACGCTCTTTCACACTCTAAACATAGTTCTATAATACATTTTAAAACAAGAAGGCTAAAACAGGTCACCTGGGGTTGTTTTTAGACGTGGAATTAGGGTCTAATCTAAAATTATATTTTATAAAACATAATTAATAAATAATTAAAATTTAAATAAGTTGTTTAAGGCATAAGGATGTTGGAAGCTTGGAATTAATAATTAAAGGCCTCAATTATTGACCAAATGGCAATTAAATCACTTAATAAATTTTATTTTATAGCCTTATTGTTGAATATTGAAGCATCACACATTAAAAAAATAATAATAATAAAACCAAATTCCTTTGAATTTTCTAGTAAACTTATTTTATTTTTTTTACCCCAATTTTTGTGCTATTGATGTTGTAATTACCTTTCACTTATTTAATTACGGCCGAACACGGAAAAACCTAATTCTGCTCTACGTAAGATACTCGAAGTATGATTGAGTATACGTGCTTATTCTTTTTTTATTATATATTTTCAAGAATTATATTTGTTCAATTAATTATTATCCCAAAATTCTTCGTTTATTTTTGCTGAAAATTTCAAAACGAGGATTTTTTTTTTAATTTTTAAATATTGGATCATTTTTGTTTTCCGAACAAATTTCTATTTCAAAATATAAAACATCCTAATAAATCCAAAAATATTTTTTCAACCTAATTTTTAATTTGAGTAGTATTTTAGAATGTTCCACATATACGTAGAGCGGGGAGGGAAAGAAATTGGAACAAGGTCGGAGTCGGGGATTGAGAATGTAATCTTTATCCCCATCCTATTTAGCTGATGGAGAAAAATCTTTTACCGCTCCCCTCTCATTCATTGTGATTTTCCACTTCGTTCGAGGTGAGTCATCTCGGCCCCTGAATTAATGGGTCTTGACTGTATTATTCCCGTTAATTATTCTAACCGTTTAAACAAGATGGCGATAAGATTTTATGTTACATTCTAGAAAACCGACCTAAAATCTTTGTCCAATTTATACTTTATATTATAAAATATATATATAAATAAGAGGAGAAGACAAAGAAGCCTAACTAACTCATTTAAGGCATCAATGAATCTCCTTATAATATACATCCAATTTTTTTAATTAAAATTTATAATTAAAAAATAATATCATTTTCCACATTTTTTGAAATATTCAAACTCTCCCCATCCATCTCTCTCTATATATTATTTTTTGCTTCCTATTACTTCAATCCACCATTTTCTATTACATCTCTCTCTCTCTCTCTCTCGAGGTAACCATGGCAGCTTCTTCTCGTCGAGCCGTTGACTTTCTCACCGTTGTCCTCGTCCTCCTCCCCGTCGTTGTTGTAATGGCAGATGATCACCTTCCATTTCTCGGTACTTCTCCTTTCTCTAACTTTTTTCTTCTCGACGAGAACCGTGTCTAGTAGCTATTGCTCGTTTAAAATAAATATAGAAAATTAAAAATTATCTGAGAATTAAGTCTTTTTATATATATATATATTCTCTTCCGTCTCATTTTTATTTTAGTCTCTATATTTTTAAATATATAAATTTTATTTTTCTCCATTCTTAAAATTAATATTAAATTAAAATTATTTTTTAATAAGATGTAGGGAAGAAAAAATAACGTGTAAATAATATTATTTTTAAAAAATTAATAAATAGATATATTAATTTTAAAATTTATTAAAAGGAAGTTGAAATTTTTATAAATCCTTAAAGTATATCGTTTTTTTTTTCTAATTTTTATAAATTTTAATTTGTGAATTTGAAAAACGAAAAAGAAAAAATAACAAAATGTTTATTATATTTATAGATAAAATATGCGATGAAGTGAACTGCGGAAAGGGGAATTGCACAACGGACGACGTCTATCCGTTCTTCAAATGCGAGTGCGATTCCGGCTGGAAGCGTACTCGCGACTCCGACGACGATCTCACTTTTCTTCCTTGCGTCATCCCTAACTGTAAGCTTCTCTCTGTCTCTCTCTCAATCTCTCTCTCTCTCTCCGATTTCTCTGTTCGTCGAAAATGGCGATCGAAATCGAATCATCCAACTCTCTGTTTCTTCTTCTTGTTTTGAAGGTTCTCTCGACTATGGCTGCCAGTCGGCGCCGCCGCCGGTACCAGATAAGCCAGTTCCAAGGAACTCCTCCTTCTTCAATCGTAAGTCATTTTCCGGCCAAGTTTCCCCACATCTTTCTTTCGCTACTTTCCGTCGCAATTTCCGAAGAACAAAACCCTAATTTAAATATATTTATTTATTTATTGGAATTTAAAAAATAATTATTTTTGTTTATGATTCTATGTATTTATTTTTATTTTATTTTATTTGATAATTAAATTTTCAATTATTTAGTGAATAATAACTTTTAAAATTAAAATTTTAACATATATATTGAAATTGATTTAAAATTTGTTATTTTATTTTTATATTTTATTTGATAACTATAATTTTAGTTTTTAATATTTGGTAATTGTTTTTAATATTTTAAAAATTCTAATTAAATTATTATTAATCCATTTTTTTAATAATAAGGATTAAATTTTAAAAAGCACTTAAAATATAATTAGCGATTTAATTATTGCTAATATTAAATATATTTTTTTAAAGTTTTTAAATCTACGAGACTGCCACCTTTCATATGCTTAGGTTGACTTGATTATTATTTATATTGTTTTAATATAATTAGCGTTTTAATTATTGTTTTTAATAAAAAAAAGAAATTAATTAAGTCTTCAAAACAAAATGATTTTTTTTTTTTTTTTTTTACAATTGGCTTCCAGCTTGCTATTGGGCCTATTGTGGAGAAGGCACGTGTGAGAAGAACAATACGTATGCACACACGTGTGAATGCAGATCTGGCTTCTACAATCTCCTCAACATTTCTGCCTTCCCTTGCTATAGTGATTGTAAGATTCACTATTTATCCTCTTTTTTTCATCTAATTTTAAGGTTAAAATATAATTTCAATTAAGTCGGGTAATATTTAGTCGTTACATACATTTTTAAAATATTGTTTTTTGAGTAATTTGTTCACAACCTGCTCGGTTGGATTACATGTTGTATTTTAATGTAATTGAAAGTACGATCTAATTTTTGTTATTATATTATTTATAGGTACGATCGGGTCGGATTGTGCAAAACTTGGGATTAAAGTTGCTAATGTAAATTCAAGCGATAATGGAAGTGGGGGTTCGGGTACCGGACAAGGTACGATGTCGATGTTCGATTACATTTTCGTTTTATATTTTAAAATTTTAGCTAGCATTTTATTAAAAATAGTTCTAGAATCACACGAAAATAAGCAAAGAAATTTTAAAATAATTTATTTATTCACCATTAATTAAAATATTCATCTTCTTCTGAATAATATATATATAAATAATAAATTTAAAAAAATTATGGTTTATTGGGTCAAATTTTCAACCATGTGGTTCTTGTTTTCTACAATTTTTTTTTATTCTTTGCTTATAATTAAAGTTTTGTTAATTTCTTGATTTATTATTTAATTAATGTTAAAATTTGAGGATTAATAAAATAATTAGTTTAATTTACATAATGATTATTTTATAAATAATTCAAGATCTTGATTATTTGTAATAAAATCAAATAAATAAATAAGTCATGCCTTGCGCATCATCTCGTTGAAAAACTATGCAAATGATTCCCACGTATTATATATTTATTTTCAAAGTTTGACATTATGACACGTGGCAACAAGTCCACCAACTTGCTTTATAAAAACAATTAAAAGAAGTTATTTTCCATAAACCTACCGTCGTTGAAAATGTTGCCTTACAATTTAATCTACCTATATATATATATATATATATACACATTTTTATTGAGATTTTAGATGTATTTTATATATAAAAAATAAAGTTTTTTTTTATTTTATTTTTATTTAATCGCAATATTAATAAAACCTAAGCTTATGTAATATGTTTAAATGGTATAAGATTTGGGTGGCATATATAATTATAGACATGGAATTGATTTAGAGGGTTTTTTTTTTTTTTTTTTTTTTTTTTAATTTCTTTGGTAAGATTACCAATACAATAGCATAAGTCTAACTTCAACTATTTTTGTGACACTCGTGTTGAGAAGAATACATGAACGAAACAATATCAAATCTAAATGAGAGTAATATTAAGGACATAAGAATTGATAGTTATTACTTATATCAACAACGTATTATAATTTTCGATAACTCAATTATAGAAACTCTAAAGTTGGGAATGTTTGGTTTGGAGGTAGCGATTCTATGTTGGGTATAGAGATGTCCACGGGACAGGGCGAGTAATTGGGTGGGTAATCTTGTCTCCAACCCAATTTATCTAATGGGAAAAAAATGTTCCATTCCTTATCTAAATGGAGAATCCCCTCCCCGTTTTGAGAGAGTCCTTGTGGATAAAATAGACATCTCTAGTTGGGTGGCTGTGAGACAGGGAGAAGAACGAAACACCATTTATAAGGTTATGGAAACATCTCCCTAACAGATATATTTTAAAAACCTTAAGAGGAAGCCTGAAAGGGAAAATCCAAAGAGGACAATATCTACTAGTGATAAACCTAGGCCGTTACAAATGGTATTAGAGTCAAATACCAGGCAATGTGCCAGCTTGGAGGTTGTTCCCCAAAGGGGAGTAGACATAAGGTAGTGTGCCAGTAAGGATGTTGGTACCCGAAGTGGGGTGGATTTGGTAGGGGTCCCACTGGAGAAAGGAATGAGTGCCGACGAGGACTCTAGGCCTTGAAGGAAGGTGGATTGTGAGATCCCACGTCAGTTAGGGAGGGGAACGAAATACCCTTTCTAAAGGTGTGGATACCTCTCCCTAGATTTTAAAATCCTTGAGGAGAAGTCCAGAGAGGACAATATCTGCTAGCGGTGGGCCTAGACCGTTACAATGAGTTTCTATAACTTTTTCTAATAAGTACGTGAATAGGAAAAAAAATGTGCTAAAATAACACGTGCTTATCTATAAGGACAATTTTCACTCTTAAATAAAACATCTTACAAATACTCTATTGATCTTGGAAGAACAAAAGTAAGCCCGGACTCTTACCACTACTGCATTATGTCACGAGAGATATACAGATACACAAGAACGTCATATTTTTAAACCCCAAGATGTTATTAATGCTAATTTCTCCTTCTTCCTTTCATCAGGAAACTCCCTTCTACCAGGAAAGTTTGGGTGGGCGGCAATGGCAATTATGTTTGGCATGACTATGGAGCTTTGGAACTAGCAGATCCTTGATTATACATATAATTGATATTCATTTATGTTGTTTACACTATGTTTTGGCTTCATATCGATTGTTATTATATGTTATGTCTGAGTTTGGTACATTATCATATATAATAAATAAATCATAGCTCTAGTCGTTAGAGGCTGCCGATCACTGTTTTTGTACATATATTCATCTTATTATATTATTTGTACAATTTGCACAAGATATATCCCATCCCAAATATTCATCTTGGTACAATTTACAAATACATCCCATCCCAGATTGAGCAGATCATCAGCAAAAATTTGCACAAGATTTCTTATAATACAGAGATGAAATCATGAACAAAAATGGAAAAAACTCTAATATACGGATTAGAAGAAAGTAAAAGGAATCGAACGAACAGTTTTCAGTAGAACTCACCAATGGAAGTTAATGGAAACGGAAATCATTTGGTCTTGATGTCAATTCCATCTTTTCCGGCGATGATCACGGCGGTCGCCATGTCCAAGAACAGTCCGTGCTCCACCACTCCTTCAAACGCCGAAATCTCTTTTCCGGCGGCTAATCCGTCCTTGATTGGAGTCTTGAAATACAAATCGACTATGTAATTCGAATTATCGGTGACGTATGGCTTCCCATCGGCGTCCAATCGGAGCTTGGCCTCGCAATCTTCGTCCTTGAATAGGTCTTGAAGCCTCACCAAATTGTATTTCCAGCAGAACTGAACGACTTCCACCGGCATCGCTAGACCGCTTCCGCCGAGGCCGTCAACTAATTTAGTATCATCGACGACGACGACGAATTTATCGGAAGCAGACTCGACCATTTTCTCACGTAACAAAGCGCCGCCGCGGCCTTTAACGAGATTCAGATCTGGATCGACCTCATCAGCGCCATCGATAGCCAAATCGAGATGCGGATGATCATCAAGAACAGAGAGAGGAATTCCTAATGCCCTAGCTTGCTCCTCCGTCCGCTTGGAGGTAGGGATTCCAACAATGTCGCTCAATTGATTACTCTTGAGAAGTTCGCCAATCTTGGCGACAACGAAGGCGGCGGTGGAGCCAGTGCCGAGGCCGAGAACCATTCCACTCTTGACATACTCAACAGCCTTGTCGGCAGCAAGCTTCTTGAGGTCGTCTTGAGTGAGAGTGGAGACGGAGCGGGCTTGAATGGATAGAGGACGGCAGCGGTGGTGGTTATTGGCGGAAAGATTAAGAGGCTTTGGTGATCGGAGAATAAGGTTGGCTATGGAGGAAACATGGCAGGAGGAAGAGAGAGAAGGAGGAGAGATGAGAGAGAGGGAAGCCATGGATGAGAAAGGGATAGGGTTTTGAGTTTCTACTGGCTAATGTCTCTGCGTTTTCTTCCTTTTATATGTGAAGGAAGAAGAAAGTGTGGCTTTTGAAATGGACATTTGGGGTTGGTAAAAGGATCATTATGGTGTTGTTGGGGTTTTCATTCAACTTTGGTTGGCTTTTCTTTTTCATTCTTTATTGGATTTTGTTCCTTTTTTTTAAATACTAAAAGATTAAAACCTCAAAAACCCGTGCTACAATACAATAGATTTCGAGAGATTTCACCGATAGTATGTTAGTGGCCGAATCCTCTTTTTATTATTGACTCGAGCATAGTTGCATAGATTGGTTGGCAATAGATCGATGATTATTAGGTATCTCCTACTTACTACCATGACGTTTTTTTGGCAACATGCGTGAAAAGTAGGTCTTGCATCTCTTAACGATCATAACGTTCGAGAGAAAAGGATTTTGTTTCAAATGCGATCGATGATTTAGTATTTCGTGAAGTGGGTCTTGTCTGTCTTAACCCAATCTATTAGTGTTTGTTTTGTTTTGTTGTATCAGACCTTATGGATTGCAACAAGCTTCTACTTTGAGTTCGATGTTGGGATGGTAATCAAATACGTTTTACGATGTTGAATCATACCCTTTTGAATTCTTTAACAAGTTTTAGTTGAGTTCTATAAGGACTCACGTTTAGCTCGAAAACATCCGAATTAGATTTTGTGAGACCTCACATCGGTTGGAGAGGGGAACGAAGTATTCCTCGTAAAGGTATAGAAATCTCTCTATAGTAAAACGAGGACAATATCTACTAGTGGTAAGCTTGGATTGTTACAAATGATATCAGAGCCACAGACAGATACGAGAGCGGTGTGCCAACGAGTACATTGGGCCTCCAAGGGGGGTGGATTGAGGGAAAGTCCGTAAGGAGATGTTGGGCCTCCAAGGGGTAGATTGAGGGGAAGCTCAAAAGGGGACGTTGGACCCCAAAAATGTGAATTGAGGGGAAACCCGAAAGAGAAAACTCAAAGAGGACAATATCTGCTAAGAAATGAAAGAGAAAAGAAAAGACAACATTTCGTGAATGAATACCATATCAGTTAAGCATAAACGTTATGGATTATTGGTACGTCTAGGGTTTAGAGGGGCAATTATGGAATAATATTTTTGAGACCGTGGGCCCACGAGCTTGTAGAATATGAAATCGGGTTGTCGGGTATGACCCAACCAAAAGTCGGGTCAAGGGCCGATTCCTGCCGGACTCTTCTTCTTCCCCACGCTACCACTTTTGAAAGCATTGGAGTTTACTCAGAATTCATTCTCACTTCTTTTTTTTTTTTTTCCTCACTTCTACTCACGTTTGATTAGCCATGGCTGCCGCATCTGCAACCGCCATTCATCGGAATCAGGTGAGTGATGCAGGTTTTTGAGGTGTTTGATTAAAAAATTATTGTTTGTTTCGAGAAATGATGAAAGATGATGTTAATACTTGAATCTAGTGAATGAGTTTTGAGTACGGGATTATCAGGATTTTATTGCTTTAAGCTTAGTTTTCTTTCATACTGATGCTTCGTTTTTAACCAGGTTGATCTGTCCGACTTCATTAACTGGTCTGGTATCGAGTGCCTTAACCAGAATTTCAGCCACACTTTTACAAATGCTCTTAGCCAGGTGCTGTTTGTTAATATTTTGACCAGAGCTGTTTATCAGTTGCATGTACTTCGTTGTAGTTTTTTGAATTTCTTTACATGGCTGAATAATTCGTTTCTCTATTCAATGAAGTTAAAGATGGTGCTGAGTTAGACTATAGCTTTCTTGCAGAATATAATTTCCTTCTCTCTTTTCTTCTAATTGTAAATCTTTCGATTTTAATATCTTCTTGAGACTTTATGTGGGAATGGTGTATACTTAATGAGTTCTCAATATGTGTCTAACAAATATTGGACCTGTATTGACTTTGTACCGCTCGTATTTTTTAACACATATCTATTATGCTAACAAGTGTCCGATATATGTTCATTAAGTTTTAAAGTGTCAAAGTGTCCAACACATGTTGGGCACGGGCACTCTTGCCACATTAAAATGTCTGTGCTTCTTAAGGGCTAGCTATATGGAAGTTGGTGAATATGAACTTAGCTCTCTTAGGCCAAGTGGCTATGCCGCTTTCTTTTAGAGTCTTATTCTTTATGGCGTATGATTATTGTTTGCATGACTGTCACTTCAGGGGTGGATCACATATGTGGTCTCTGAACTAAAGACATTAAAAGTCCTTGGAAAACCATTTTCTATTGCATACCGAGCTTTATCAACTACATTAAATTCTCTGTGGGGAGCAGGGCTTGCATTCGTTTATGGGAAGAATTTTGGGCTGGTATCAACGTCTTTCAAAATTCTCTTCACGTCTTTATAATATTTTCCTTTGAAAGAGATGTTGGTCAATTCATTGATAATTCGTAATGAACTTCCTTCCTTCCACTTGATTTTCATTTTCATTTTCATTTTCATTTTAGAAGATATCTTTGTGATATTGAGTCGGGATTTATCCAAATATTATCTCCATTGTTAGTAATACGCATAGTTGGGTTCTTCAGCCATCTGGCATCTTTTGTTTTTTTTACCCTTCTCTCCATCCCCCTCTTTCACTCTGATTTTGAAGGCTAAAGTCTAAAAAAGATCAGGTTTTTCACCTGGCTGGTTTCTTTGGGAAGATTAGACACACACCATAGACTTTGTCTAGAAGCCTTCACCTTTGTCTGAAAAAAGATCATTTGCTATAGAGATGTCACCTTGTCGTGAAACTTTAGAGTTGATTTTTTCACATGTTTGGAGTCAGTGTAGCTACTCCCGAAGGTTGTGGGATATGGTGGCGAAGGTGCTTATTAACCCAATTTTCCATAATAAGGGTCTGATTCAGTGGCAAGCAATTTTCTCACTATTTTGTTGAATCTATGGCTTGCGAGAAATAAAGTATTTTGAGGGTACCGAAGTCTTGGAAGAGGTTTGAAGTTTGGAAAATTTGAATCTCTTGTGGCGTTCTCTATATCTTTTTATTCTTAACCATTGAACCAACCTACTGTAATTTTGTTTCAAGTTTTTGTTTATAGATTGCTCATCTGTTTGGGTCTATTTTTTAGGCCACTCCTTTTGTGTATTCATTCAGCGTATTAAAAGTTGATGTATCATATGAAGCAAGAGGCTAAAATACCATTTTTGGTCCTTGTCATTTGACACTTGTTCCATTTTAGTTCCTATGCTTTCGAATGTAGAATTAATTTAGTCATTATCAATTTGAATGATAAAATAATAATTTTTATTAGAGGAAAGACATTGTGAGTATCTTTTCAACATTTATAGAGGGAGGGCTAATAGATTCAAGTATTTTTTTTTTTTTTTTTGAGAAAGTTAATCATGAACAATATAGGGACTAATTTTAAGATTTACTAGAAGAAGGAGACTACATTTTTACATTTGAAAGTACATAAGACTAAATAAAACAAGTATCAAAGTCTGGGGTCAAAATGGTAGTTTTGACCTAAAAGAAAATTTTCATGATAAAATATGCATCTCTTTTTCCCTGTAATTTCTTCCCAACAGCCAAGGGAAATTATTATACCGTGGGTTTGAAGCAACTTTTCTCTTAAAATAGACTTGTAGGGATAATGATAGCTTGCTTTTGGAGAGTGATGCGGATGAGCAGATTTTGATGTACATACCTTTTAACCAAGTCATTAAATTGCATTCCTTGGTCATCAAGGGACATGAAGAGGAAGGCAAGTATTCTATTATACCTTTTATTAGTTCTAATTGGTTTATTTTCTTCTGGATATTTCTATTTCAGTATTGCTTTTCATCTATAATTATAGTTCATCTAATCTATTGGCATATATTTTTTAACATGTCTTACATGTCCAACGTGGCCAATGGGGGTATGATCATTACATTTTAAAGTCTTACCATTTGATTTTTTTTTGGGTTGTCCACCTCCCTTTCCCTTGTCCCTCCTGTGCTCTAGTCTTGTAAATCCCTTGTTACTGCGTCTACAGTTTTTTTCTGTGGTGATGGAGTAATGGACTATAAACAGAGAAACAGAAAATTTCTCAGGGTTAGAAAGAAAGACAACCTTGAGTTTGGGGGTGTATAACTCTGCTTTCTTGGTTTTCTATCAAAACTTTTGTAAACTTCTCTTCTCTTAATCCCATCCAATTGAGAAGTTCTTTTTTTAGTAATTCTTTGCTGTGGGAGGATGTCGAATTCTAATCTTTCCTGCCCTTTGGTTTCTCTCGTACCTTTATATATTTCTTTCTAGTCAAACAAATATATCGTAGGATTGCTCTCTTTTATTCTGCTTAATAACAAATCGCAGGATTCTAACATTGAGGTTGTTCTCCAGGCCCTAGGACTGTAAAGCTTTTCTCAAACAAGGAGAATATGGGATTTGGGTAAACTAATTGTGTTCTTTAGTTGATATTTAGTACAAGTATTTTCTGAATATTATCAGTTGAGGATAGTCTATTTCATGTTTGTTGCAGCAACGTCAATGACTACCCTCCAAGTGACACGATTGTACTTTCCCCAGATAATCTTACGGTAGATTTTCCATACTTGTATCTGTATCTCATCACAAAAATGGAAAACTCTCTAGGAGAGACTATACACAGGAATTAGGACAGCATTGTTTTATTGCTATGCTTTGTAGGGAAAGCCAGAAGTTGTAAAGTACGTGAAATTTCAAAATGTTCGCAGGTGAGTCATTTTTATTTGTCTTCAATTAGATCGTATATTGAAAGTATCAGTTGATTGTTCTGAATAATTTGAATCTTTATCAGCTTGACAATTTTTATAGAGGACAACCAATCTGGTGCTGATACTACAAAGGTTCAAAAGATTGCCTTGTATGGAACAACGTAAGTTTTTTTTTTTAACAATTAACATTATATTTCATTTGAGTTATTTTTGTCTTCTCTTCTTCCTTTGCTATGTTTTAACTGAATTACTCTATTGCACGATCAATAAGCTTAGATAAGGCGAGTTTATAATTTATTTACTTTGTCTATAACTGAGCGATTGCATATGAGCACACATCCAAATGGATTAGAGTACACCCCACTTGCAATTGTTCTCAAGGTCTTCAGTCTTCAGTGTAGAATTTGGGTTGATAGGTAATCAATCTTATAATAGCATTTGTGTGCCCTGACGAGGGGGTAAGGTTGGATGGTCGTATACAGTTGGATCTTCTATGTTGGGTTTGCGAGAGAGAGAGAGTTTATGAAGGGTGTGTCATTTGTCTCAGATCTCAAGGTAGCTTGTCCTTATTGACCTACAGAATGGTGTTTTAAAATGTCCAAGCATATGGGAGCTCTTCCATCATAGATTAGCTCTCCCTTCTTTGCATATCTACCAACTACATGCAGTTGCTAGCATCACTATCTTATTCTCCCTTCTTTGCATATCTACCAACTACATGCAGTTGCTAGCATCACTATCTTATTGTTGGATGTTAAGTGCAGCTGTGTGAGATCTCACGTCGGTTAGAGAGGAAAATGAAACATTCTTTATAAGAGTGTGGAAACCTCTCCCTAGTAGATGCGTTTTAAAACCGTAATGGGCCAAAGCGGACAATGTCAGTTAGCGGTGCGCTTGGCCTGCTGTTGGAGGCTCACTAACAACCAACAATTAACTGCTTGATCATTTGCTCGCCTCTGTGACATATGCCATTCTGGAATTGGTCAGAGCCTTGAGTGACATTATTTATGATGTAGGAAGAGATTCTAATCCACACTAATAAGGCGGCTATTAAAGGTGCCTTCTCTGATTGCATGAGTGCACGTCCAAATTAAGTGGATTGATTTTAATTGTGCAAAGATATTCTCACCATAGGATCTATGAGGCAAAGAGCAAGACTAATGCCTTCATGCGGGGGATGAACCACATCTTTTATAGTAGAATAGCCGATGGTAGAATAAAGCCCTTAATAGAAAGAATTCTTGGTATTTTTTTCCCTTAGCTTTGGCTCACGAGATCTTTTGTGAAATGACCTTTGTAGTATAGACTTGAGAGTGTGCAGCTGAAGATTAAACTTCATCTTCCAAAAAAGTAATCGGTACTTTATCCACTAACCAATTCTCTGATTAGTTCATCTTTGGAAATTTAATACCAGAGTTTTGCCATTTTCATCTTTACTTGATGTTGGCTAACAAAGATTTTAAATCTCATCACTTCTTTTATAGATTATTTTCTTATCAGCAAAGGTAGTACTTATATAATGGATAATCCGCTCGAGTTCTGTTTTTCATATTTTATTCCACAATGAGTGATGCATGTATTATGCTTTAGGGGACAGCATCAAAGTACAAACTATGGTCACAGTCTTCCATGAACTATGTCGACCATCTCGTGTATTATAATCCGAACTTATATTGCACGATCCCACCCATGGTGTGATAGGAATAGAGGGAAAAACGGCATTCAACTCAATTCCATTTTTTCTTTATGCTTGGCGAAATGTTGAAAGTACTATTGATCTGTTATGCAGGGTTGAAACAACAGACATGAAGGGTCTGAAGAAGATCGAGGACCACTGAATGCAACAAGACACGAGTCATAGATTGTGAGTAATTGATATCAAAGATCAATTTTCTTTGAAGATAAGAACTAACTTATAATGGATTTCGATGTCATATCCTGGAAGTTTGATGAGTTATATCTGTTAAGGTTAAGATTTTGTTATTAGTGCTTTGATATGTGAATATAAGGATAGATTGCAAGACTCTGGAACATATTGTTATCAAGGAACACTAGATTATAGTGAAAGGATGATTTTCTTAATAAAATACATTAGATTATGGTGAAAGGATGAAAAAACAAGTACAATTTTAGAAAATCAAACCTTAATCAAATGAACCTAAACGATTATTAGCTCATCAATTAGCTCATCAAATAGGATCAACGCTATCAGACATACTTAGTGATCCACAGTTTAGATTAATGAAGATCCGCTTTACACACTGCAGCAACCCTTCGAAATCATCTCGACCATGTATGATTTCTTATGAACTCTGTTCGGCCAACTTGAAGAGAGCCATACGGATCTCGAAGCTCTCATTTTTATTGAGCTAAAACTTGCGAGAATACAAATCAATGCTACCAATTTGGAACTTTGATGTCGAGTCGATGTCACGAACTGTCAAGAATGTAAACCTGAACCCATGTTTTACAAGTTAGAGAAGAGCAAGTAATTGTGCTTCAATCTTATAATTATAATAGTTTTAATAGAATTTACCAAAGGAAAAAAAATCATATCTATCCGTAAATTTGTCGAAGTTGTATCAATTTACGCCTATTTAGATATTAAACTTGGAATAGAGCAATCTCTCGTCTTTATTTTGATTTTGTTTGAAAATTCATTAACAAAGAATTCTCAAACATCTGATTTATTTGTTCATCGAGAAAGATTGATAGAAGGCGAGTAAAAAGTGAATTTTTCCCCAGAATTTACCTGAAAGCATTTGATAAGTGACCAGTTTTGGCAACAAAGAAACTCCTACGTTGTGAACGGTTGTCAAATATCTGATTTGTTTGTTCATCAAGAAGATGCCAACTGCTTCCCCCATCTTCACTTCCCTCAACCAACCTGCCACCACAGATGGCCAAAAGTAATATCACTATGAAAAAAAAAAAAATCTTAGAAAATTTCTTTCCACTCTTGTCTCCAGTTTATAATCCTATTTCAAACAGACCACCAAACAATTAACTCAATCTTTTTTTCTTTTTAATCTTCTTATCAGAAATATGAAAGACTACAAAGACTGTATAAAGACCAACAAGAGTCCCAAATTTAACTACAGGAAGGGACTCCAATGTAAATAATGCGAGCTTATAAAAATTCATCAAATTCTAATGAACGAATGCCAAAAATGAAAAAAAAAAAAAAACTTGATCGATTGTTCATATAGATCACTTAAAAAAATGAAACCATAAGGCAAGCATATTATAAAAAAGAATGTAATAATATTTGATTAACTGCATTGAAAATAATACCAATCCATCGGATCCCTTTCAGACCCATCATTAGCGGACATCAACTCGTAGGCAACGAGTTCTTCCTTCTTGTTGTCTAATACCTTATACATGATCCAACAACCTACAAGAAGAAAGTACAGAAGAATATTACATGAACGCAAAAACAAACTAGGAGAAGTCGTGACAGTTGAGTTTTAAAGAATGAAACTTAGACATAGACATGAGCAATCATTTTATAAAATAGATGTACAATGTTGACAACACGAAACCGGCTGATGTTATTACACAGTATACAAATATATTTTAGTAAACATATCTCCCTACCATGTGCCAAATTCCAATTATAAAAACCACCTAGGAAAATTGTTAGATCCCACGTCAGTTGGAGAGGAGAACGAAATGCCCCTTGTGAAAACCTCTCCCTAATAAACGCGTTTAAAAAACCTTGAGGGGAAACCCAAAAGGGGAAACCCAAAGAGGACAATATCTGCTAGCGGTAGGTTTGGGCCGTTACAAAAACTACGCTACGTTTGTGTTTCATGTGCATTGTTCTTATTGTTCGAGAGCCGAATATACCTTTGGCACCACTTGGCTCTTCCCATTTGGATGAACGAATCCCATCAAATGCCGACGTTGCCTGCAAGTTTCCAAGTGTAGAGTAACAAAATCTATAAGACGCATGCTTCCTAAACTAATAAATCATCAGCAACGGTAAACAGAACTTACTATTCCAGAAGGAAGTTCCTCGCCACTTGCAAGGACTGAGCCTGAATGCATTCTGTTAAACTTCAGACGAGGAATACATAGAAAGGCTCTATCAAAGTTATCACATTTGTTAATATCTTGTATTATTTCTTCAAGAGCATCTAGCACAACAGGCAATGCTAAAGAGGTATAAACAGGCTCACTAGCCAACCAAATGTGAACCCTCCCATCAGTGTCCAGATTGCTGTCTAGCGACAAAGCACCAAGAAAATACTTCAAGGAAGTAAACAACCGATGCAAAAGGGTTTTCATCTCATCTGAGTCTGAATCTACCAAAACCCTTCTTGTTCTAAAGGAAGATTTCTTGAGATTAGTTACAATCCCTTGAATAAATACCAGTGCTTCTATAGCTGTAGACTTGGAAAATTCTTCATCCAGAAGTCGAGATAGAATAGATTGAAATCCCTCATAAATCCTTGTCACGTGCTCATCCGCACATTTACGGACAGGACATGCAGAAGAACTCAAAGAGCCCTCCTCATCAGAGTCAATCTCCAACCTTGATTTGCGCCACTCCTTGTCTCCACTTTGTCTTCCAGGTAATGAAACTGAAGAATTGTCCATAGCGTCGGTGTCTATTTCTCTTGCTTGCTTTTCTTTTTCATCGCGATCTTCAAGTTCAGACAGTAATTGAGATGTAAAGGTTGATCGACATTGTCTTGTCTTTTCTGCAAGCAAGTTTGACAATATCTCTTCTCTGATAATATCTCTTCGAGGTAAAACCTATGTTTTTCACATGCATCGGTTAACAAGAAATGGCAAGAAATTTACACATGACAACATTCATATCTTTTTTTTTTCCCTCTTTTTCTTTGGAAGAAGAGTTGGAATTAAATTGTGGAACAAACATATCGTGGTTACTTAATACCTCAATCCATTTCCTCGTGTAGTATTTAGTGACATCACGAACTCCATCTATAGAAAAAGCAATGACATAATTTAATTTCTTGTTCCACCTGCAGATAGAAACAAATAAAATTGAACTCTGCTGAGTAGACAATTACTTTTGGTCAATAAAGGCTTCCTGTTGTAATGAATTAATAAAAGAATAAGTACCCCATTTCATACAACAATGGTTGATCATATACTCCTTCACAGGGATCTAGATGCATCCATCTGATTAAAAATAGCAGTCAACAGCATATTTTAAAGGCTCACTAATATAAAACTACTACCACAAAAATGGTGGGGGAAGGAACGCAGTGGTGCCTGTAACTTTTTTTTTTTTTTAAGAACAGTAGATCTATAAATTAAACTAACCTCCCTAAAAGATGAGAGAAGCATTCAGTCCAAACGTGATCTGTAAGATCAAGAATCTGGAGATGGAACAAAAATTAGTACAAAAGAGCCAAATTTATATCATATTACAGTTTCTTCTTAAAAGAAGTAAATTAAAATACTGGATAATTCATTATGCTTGGGTGATGGATAGTGATGTCAAGCATAATACTCAACTTCTTTGGGGGGTGAACAAAATTGTTTCAGAAATATGGTTTGAAAGAAATTGAAGGCATCTGATAAACTATGTGGGATGAGAGAGTCGATTAGCTAAACATAAGACACTCTCTTGATGTTCTTCATCAACTATTTGCAACTTTTATTTTATAGAATATCTTGCATAGTTGGAGATCATTTTTGTAATTTTCCTTATGTTGTAACTTCTACTAGAGACGTCTGTAACCTTTTTAGAGTTTAGATTTTCTAATTGTACAAGGGTTCCTTCTATACTCCTAAAGAGAGTAGTCATACTTGGTAACTTTTCACTAATTTAACAAGAAAAGGAATAAATCATGAGACCACTCACAAATCGAGATTCATAGCCAAAAACACGACAGTAGAATGTAAAGCAATTGGCCCATTCTCCACAGCGTCCCCTCCTTGTTTCAATAAGCTGCATGCAAGAGAGAGTGAAACTAAAACATGTATAATTATATAGGGACTTCTTGATGGGATAAATAAAGTTGAATACCTTTATTGGATCATTGAAGCGTGGGAAACGTGTAACCATTTGGCATGAGTTACAGCTGGAGGTGTAAAAAGGAGAAAGAAAAGAGAGAGTAGACAAAAAATGAAGATTAGACGAGAAGGGAACAAGGAAAAAAGAACATCAAATACGTGAGGTAATTCTATCATTCACCAACTCACCTAAAGCCTGAAACTGAAACTGAACCTCTATGCCTATTATTTACCACTATCAAAAAGTTGAACAAAATTGGAAATGGTCCTCAATTCAGCCAGTCTTTTCTTCCATATTATATATAAAGGCCATTAAAAAAAGATAACATTAACAAAGTGACCTTTAATTTAGAGAGTGAGAACACAAGCACATAATATATTTGTTTGTTTAGCTCAGCATATAATTCTGTACAAGTTCCTTCTTATCATTCCTGCATTGTTCTGGTAGCCATTAGGTGTTTCTTTTCTTTTAGTTAGGTTTGTTCACTGTGGAAGACTGACATTGTGCTTTTTTAATTTTGTTTTGGTTGTCTATGGGTGACAAGAGTAATAACATACTCTTTCTAAGGACTATTTTGCTTTGTGAATGTTTTAGAAAACTTCCTTCCTGACAATCAGATCTTTTTGGAAACGTATCAGTGACAACTATTTGATGTGGATTGAGAAGAACTGAAATAAAAAAGAGACAATCATAAATGACGATAGATAATAATGCAGAAAAGATGATTTGAAGATGACCACTACTCGAAGAGATGGAAAAAGTAGGAAAATTTTCTTGATAATGGGAACCAGGCAAAACCTAAACCTTCCAAATCGTAAAAAATGCTTAGTTTGTATAAATAAACTTTATCCAAAAAGGCATGGGTCAAAGTGAAGGGAAATTATCCTGGTTTCATCTTGGCCATAATAGAATAGATAATAAAGCTCCCTACCACCGGAGTGGCTCTTGAAGATATTGCCAACGTGACAATTAGAGTGAGTTTGGGATAACTATTAAGAGTACTTGTAGTGTAACACTTTTGGAAACAACACTAGTTAAATGTTGAACCTATAAGCAATTTAAAATGTTAGAATTTTCGAATGCACTTTTTGCAATGTACCAGCAAAAAGTGATTTTCATTAGTTAAAGCATTTTTAATTATTCTAAAAGATCAACTCGCTCTTAATAGACTTGCAAGGCACAACCCCTAAGTAAGGCTTAATGAAACTCGTTGGAGAGAGCTTGAATGAGAAAAGTTCTCATGCAAGGTAAAAAGATTTGCAAGGAAAAGGTAAAAACAGAGAAGCTTCTATTGTTGGAAGCTCTTGGAGAGTGGCTCACCAAAAGATTGGAATCTATAGGTCTCCACCTCTCGATAAATGGATAGGATTTATATAATACATGGAAAAAGAACACCTAGGATCACCAGTAGAGAACCCCCTGACACAACCAACTAATACAAAAATTCCTTTCAACCAACATTTATAAAAAATGTGTTGTTACAGAAAAACAATTGGAAACTGCACTCCAAGAGGAGGCCGTGAATCGCACAGAGCCACAAAAGATAAGAAGAAAAGTTATCCTTGAAGACTGTAAGAAAATTTGAAATGAACAAGAAATATAGAGACCAAGTATATTAACGCTTGTAACAGCCTAAGTTAATCAATTCAGGTTTTGAGATATAATATGACGTCGTGTTTTCTAAATGCTATTGCAAAGGTTCAGCAGCACTGCCCTTCAAGTCTGCCGTATCATGCATGCTAAAACGTAGAAATGATTAGTTATTGAACTTTTAACCCAAAAGTAGCATAAGCAGGATAATTGCAACCTGCAGTACTAACCTATTTAAAGAAGGATATGAAAATAAAATACAGCATATTCATCTTCATGACTATTTATTTTAAGTGAAAAATTATTAGTCATCATCATAGATTAACATGATGTTAATTAGCACACCACTCAATAAGATCATGGGCATAGGGGCAGAGAAATTGTTAAGTAGCAGGAAAAAAGAAAACAGTTCATTATGCCCAGTTTTCTTTATAGTTTGGCGAAGAATGTAGTTTACATAATCATAACTATAATAAAACAGAGAAGAAATCTAGCAATATAGAATGATGAATCCAGAATCATAAGCCTAACCAAAAGCATTCCACATACCCATATACTTCAACTCGGTTAGCGCCAAACTGAAGTTCTGAAGGAAGTGGATTGCCCATATCTTGAAATGTTGTTGCATCTCCACAATGTTCACAAGAAGGTGCATTAACCCACCTTTAAAAGTAATAAATTAAATCAGAAGTTTCATAAACCAATGATGTTAGTGCATCACATGATTCAGGTTACATCCATAAAGAACCATAGAAGCATATTGACCAAGGATTACAACTCGACTCTCAAAGTAATTGCAGTTTAATAATCCATCCAATACAGTCGTCCAAGGCAAGTACCTGAATGATTGTTTAAACCAGAAAAGAAGCTGCAACAAAAAGGCATGGTCTTGTTCCAATTTGGATGGTTCGTACTTTCCCTCCTACAACAGGCTCACCAAAATGACTAATTGTCAAGCATTCACAAGCTTTTTCATATGAAGATGCCTAAACCTATTAAGCTAGGGCAACCAAACTTTGAAAAATAAAGTCATTAATTAAAAACAATAAGAATTGCAACAGAGTCCGTGGAAAGTTGCAAAGCCACAAAAATCAATTAGATTTACTTAAAAATATATATATATGCAATTAGAATGCTTTAACAATAAAATGCCAGAATATTTTGGCATCTATGTCTTACCATGTGCAACTGACTAAGTTAAGATATCCAAGATACTGAAATTCAGAATTAAAAGAATAAAATTGTGCCAATAAGTTTGGCACAGAGATTTGGCTGGGACACTACAAGCATCCACTCCCTTGTCTCCAATCATAGGCATTACTATATTCAAAATCATAATGGAGCGGTTTACTGGTAAGCAGGGAGAATGGTTTCAACAAATTGCCCGTAAAATCGTATGACATATCAAGAAAAAAGAATGAAACAAATAAACAAGCAAAAGAAATGGCATCAAATTAAGTGATACCTTGGCCAGGGAGACAAGTGCTTTCTCTTGAAGCTCTTCCACAGGAACAGTTTTCCTTGCAGACTCTTGCCTTATTGGATCCTCATACTGCAACAAATAGTCAGGTCGTCAAAAGTGTAAAGAGCAAATAATTCTGGCACGGACAATACAAAACATGGATACACCTACACATAATTATTCACAAACATCATCAGTTATCAAATTAACCACAAAAATCCTCAATGTCGATTGTTTCTCATGCCAAACGTACAAAGGAAAATCAAATTAAAAACACAGCTTAAACGGAAAAAGAAAAGAAAAAAAGAAAGCAAATACCAAGCGAACTTGATCAATATAGCCGTTTATCCTCCTCACACACTTCTCCGCACTATCATCCATAACTAGCTTCTTCGACACAGACGCTATCTCCTCCTCCTAAATTCATTCCCAAAATCAGAAAATAGCAGCAAACATTTTCCAACACGAAAAAAGAAGATCAATAACGCTGAACTGAATCATCTTCACACAAAAATTGATCGAATTACTAAACAGCAAACCTTCTGATCGGATTCCGGCAACTCCGTAAGAGTTCTTTCCACGCTAAGTTGATTTTCCTCCTTCTGATACGCTGCCTTCTTCACTAGTCGATCACAACAACTGAAACTTCTCCAGTATATACAGCCATGAATCGCATCGTTTTCATCGAATCTCTTCACTTCAGAAACAACAGTGAAAACACAAATGACTTTTGCTTTGATACCTTCCTTCCCGGGTTTCCCTCGCTGTAAGCTGTAACCGACGGGAAACAGAAATAACCTCGGCGGGATTCTTTAATAGCTTAAATAAATAAACAGTTGGCAAAACCGTAAGTCCCCCAAATATTATAATAATAATAATCATAATAAACAATATCAATTTAAATGCAAACTTCCATTTCAAAAAATTTAAGTATTAGTTTGTATTGTTATAAGCTTTAATACATCAAAGGGGGAATCGAAGATTTTTTATAAAAGCATGAAAACCTCTCTCTAACAGGCGCGTTTTAAAAACGTGAGCTGACGGAATATGTAAAGGGTCATAAAATCGGGAGCTGACGATGATACGTAGCGGGTCAGAGCGAACAATATCTACTAGTAGTGGGCTTGCGTTGTTAAAAATGATATTAGAGGTAGGATGTCGCTAGCAGTGAACTTGGATTGTTACAAATGATATTATAGTCTAGGTGCTCCTCTAAAGGGGTGAATTGCAAGATTTCACGTCAATTGGAAAGGGAAACGAACCGTGAGCCCAGCAGCGATATAACGAGCCAAAGTGGACAATATCTGTTAGCGGTGAGTATGAGTTATTATAGAAACTCTAATTTTAAAAAAGAAGAAAAAACGTGTCTTAATTGTAAGAGTTGCGCTCGTGACATTCAGCAAAATTTTGGAATCAATGGCAACATTGAAATTAGTAGCCTCAAACACCCTATTTTGGAGAATATGTATTTTACAAATTTATTTTTGAAAAAATATTTTAAAATGATGTAATTTAAACAGTAGAAATTTATGAAAATAAGTCTCCATCAAATATATAATTACACTAAAAGAATATTTTTTTAATATATAAATATATTATATTTTATGCTATAAACTCGTTTCATTTTCGTCAAAATTAAATAAGACGTAACATTACATATTAATCTTTTAAATATATTATTAAAGATATTTTGAGTGACTTTTTGAACTGAAGATCTTGGGAGCCGTCTCAAAACAATTACTCGGTAACCTATTGGGTGAAGTGATTACTCCCTTAAGTGATCTCAAAACATTACCTAGTAATCTCTCTGGTGAACCGATTACTCTGTAACCCCTTAAGTGAAGCCCTTTCAAGGTTTCCACCTACAAGCGTGAACCTAATATCTTGGGAGCTATCTCAAAACATTACTCAATAACCTCTTGGGTGAACCTACTCGGTAACCCCTTAAGTGAAGCCCTTTCAAGCTTTCTACTGATTACTCAGTAACCCCTTAAGTGAACCGATTACTCAGTAACCCCCCAAGTGAACTCCTTTCAAGTTTTCTACCTTGAGTGTGAATCGATTACTTGGTAACCCCTTAAGTGAACCGATTACTCAGTAACCCCTTAAGTGAACTCCTTTCAAGTTTTCTACCTATGAGTGTGAGCCGAAGATCTTGGGAGCTATCTCAAAATATTACTCAGTAACCTCTTGAGTGAACCGGTTACTCGGTAACCCCTTAAGTGAAGCTCTTTCAAGCTTTCTACCTACAAGTGTAAACCGAATATCTTGGGAGCTATCTCAAAACATTACTCGATAATCTCTTGGATGAACCGATTACTCAGTGACCCTTTAAGTGAAGTCATTTCAAGTCTTTTACCTACGAGCGTGAATCGAAGATCTTAGGAGCTATCTCAAAACATGACTCGGTAACCTGTTAAATGTTTCAAGAATTAGGTTCTAATGAATAGCTAAGATGAAACATAGGTAACAAATGGAGAAGGAACACAGGTAAATTCTTCATATTGATTGAAATACATTATCAATGCTCACAGTACATCTATACCTAATAAACAGCATCATTTATAGAACTCATTCATACATTTATTGACTCCTATTGTCCAAATCTTGTAGAACTGGTATTAAGGTGTATACAAACCTTTGAATGTCTCAGGTTCAGATGTCATTCACTAGTGGAGGTGAGTTAGCATATCTCCATGTTGCATAAATCATGCTATCGTAACTTCTATTTCCAGCTACCTCACTTTCGGGTACTGCCTCGGAAATCTCGTTCAGTTCGTCTTTGTCGAGCTTCACTGTCAAGGAACCGATGTTGTGCTCCAAATTCTTTATCTTGGTTGTGCCTAGTAACAACAAAGACAAGAACAAGTCCTGAAACGAAAAGAAAGTATCTGTACAGGAAAGTAATAGGTTTGTGAAAGATTTTCCATCTTTGTTCTTGTCGCTATAACTTAGGTAAAATTATAAATTTAGCCACGAAACTTTTGCGGTTTTGTTTATTTAGTTCATAGGTCCTTCTCTATTTCTTAGTCATGGTTTACGTGTTTAAACTCCGATCGTATAGTTGGGTCTCTGCCTACTCTACGAATTTGCATAAAAGAAAAGACCTAACTAAGCTAGCTTTTATGTTATTGAAAACCAGGAGAGAGAACCAAAGTCAAGGAAGGAGAATCATATGAGTCCTCCAAGCCTTAAGTTGACGTTTTAATATCAGTTTTCAGAAAAAAGAAAAAGAAAGCCAAGCAACCAGTGAAGTTCTTTCTGTATCTACGGAATCATTAGAACTACAGGCTCGGCCTGCTGACCCACTAACCAAATCAACTAATATTTAGACAGGAACGAGACTAAGTTAGTCGAAAGATGGTTATCGGTTTGAGGATCACTTGGAATTGGAACAGGAGAACCCATGCAAGAGAAAGTTGAGCAGGAGAGCAATGGTGCTTTTCAGCAAGCCTCTCTATTCGTGTGTAAAAGCACTTGTTCTTCTTCAAGTTTTCTTCGATGAATCGAGGATGCAAAACTCTAAGAAAAGAAGAGATTAGACATGAGTTTTGAAATTTACTACAGACTGATCAAAAAGTGTCCTAATCAAAGCATTATTAAACTCTAACGGAAGGAGAAATAGTGCAAAATGGATACCAATAGGCTCTCAGCAGGCAAACTTTCCACAATGGCTTTACCGGCAAAGAAGCCTCGACCAAGAGGGCTGTATGGAACAATACCTATTCCTAGATCTCTACAAAACAATCACAGGGCAATGTCCTCTTATTTAGCAAAGAAAAAATACGACAGCAGCATAGGCATAAAAACGAGAAAAACAAGCTATGTAACAAGGCAAAAGCTAATCATTTAGGTCCCATTTGAAAACAACAAAGTTATGAATGTACCACTTAATATTCCCTCCCAATATAAAACATCAAAAAGCCTTAAACATTAGGGATTAGGACACTCAAAAGGTGTAGGTTTAGAGTCCAAGGTTTGAACATTAATGGAACAATTATTTCTTACTACCAAATACAATAAAGTCAAATTGTAGTTCCTAGCTTTGAAATTAATAAATCACAGTTGTTGGGAGAATGAGGGATTAAAATATCAAATCATGCTGATAGGAATGGCATTAGAAAGAAATTAGGAATATTATAAGGGTATATTATTAATTAGTTTGAGTGGTTGCTATGGTTTTTGGTTATAAATAGAGGAAGTGGGAAAGGAGAAAGTTAAAGTTGAGATCCCACATCGATTAGAGAGAGGAACGAGTACCAGCAAGGACACTAAGCCTCCAAGGGTGGGCTTGAGCTGGGCTGTTACAAATGGTATCAGAGCCAAACACCGGATGGTGTGCCAGCGAGGACATTGTGCCATATGCTAGTGGTGGGCTTTGACTGTAACAAATGGTATCAGAGCCAGACACCGGGTAGTGTGCCAGTGAGGACGCTGGACCCCTAAAGGGGTAGATTGTGAGATCTCACATCGGTTGAAGAAGGGAATGAAGCATTCCTTATAAAAGCGTGGAAACCTCTCTCTAACCAACACGTTTTAAAACTTTGAGGGGAAGCCCGGAAGGGAAAGGCCAAAGATGATAATATCTACTAGCGATGGGTTTGGGCTGCTACAGAGTGTCAGCGAGGATGCTGAGTCTTGAAGAGGGGGGGATAGTGAGATCTCACGTCGATTGGGGAAGAGAACGAAACATTTTTTTATAAGGGTGTGGAAATTTCTCTCTAGCATACACATTTTAAAAACCTTGAAATAAAACCCGAAAGGAAAAGTCCAAAGAGGACAATACAATAAGGGTCTATCATATACCTGCAGAGAGGAACAATCTCATCCTCGATGTCACGTGTCCAGATCGACCACTCCATCTGTAGAGCTGTAATAGGATGAACTGCATGTGCTCTCCTTATTGTCTGTGGATTGGCTTCAGATAAACCTACATACTTAATCTTTCCCTCTTGCACCAGTTTTTTCAGCTCACCCATCTACAAATCAAGAACATATATCTCAAAACCAATCTACATAACAACAAAGTGGGAAAGTGAGCAAGGGCTATTTACAGTTTCTTCAATAGGTGTAGACGTATCAGTACGATGTTGATAATAGAGATCAATGTAGTCTATATCAAGGCGTTTCAAGCTAGCCTCACAACATGCCCGCACATACTCTGGGGTTCCCTGCACTGTCATAGAAAGTCCAACCCTTGTTACCCCAAACTTTGTGGCTATCTGAACTTCTTCTCTTGGTAACTGTTTCAAGGCCTGGAAAGTGGGAAATAGAGAAGAGAAAGACCTGTTTATTATGTGCTTATATTGGCTGTGGAACCATCATTCAAAAGCAGAGCTGAGTACCTTTCCAATCAGGATTTCGTTAGAATTGGGTCCATATGCATCGGCTGTATAGAAAAAAGTGATTCCCTTATTGAAAGCTTCCTTTAGTATTGAGATGCCATCTTCATCAGATAAAGAAGAATTGTAGATTCCAGTCAAGTCCGTACATCCAAATCCCAATTTTGAGACCTGATGTTCATAAAAATATGAGAAAATAAAGCTTGAGAAAGGTTTTGTTCATCAACTTTTCCCATTAAACTTGAGAATGAACATTCAGCTAAAGCCATATGAGTTTTACCTGAAGTCCCTGACTTCCAAGTTGCACTCTGGGAATCTGAACTCCTTGCCCCTCTGCCATTCTTTTCACTCTAAATCTTGTGAGCAGAAAGTTAGTGAATTCTTTTAGTAGTCTGATGAACCAATCCTCAAATATACATATATAGGACCAAGATGTAGAGGGATTATCACGTGGGGAATCAACAAAATGACATTCATCATTGCTTACAACACAGTCTTATCACTTCAAATTGAAAATATAGTATATTGGACTTCTTGTTCATGGCTTACATCACAGTCTTTCACAGTCTTTCACTTCAAATTGGAACATATAAAATATTTAGTACGTACTAAACAGTTAACCCCACTAGAAGGGGTTTTTGTTTTCCTTCCAATTACTAAATCCTCTCAACCATTTTCAAGCTCTGAGTAAGCAAAAGCCTAGCAGTTGATAAGATTAGCAGACTGTTTAGCTGTAGAAGTCAACCTAAGGGACTATAATGCTTCCATTTACACCGATCAAGAACAGTTTCTACGACAAAATTTGTAATGGAAACAGGAAAATTGAAATGGGAACTTACCTCGATTCCTTGATTTCCCAGTTTCACTTCGGTATTTGGATACTCAACCCGTCAGCCAGTTTAAGAAGTCTGCATAAATAAGCACTAAAAAGTGCTGCCTGTACGTTTGTAACTTATATTAATGGTACATTGTAACTTATCATTATATTAATTAAAGTCATAAACTATTAATAAACAATTTAGACACTAATTTAAGAATATCTCGACTATCAATCTCGTCACACGTGTGGACAAAATTTGTACATTTGTTTAATCAATCGACAACAGACAAAGACTAGGTTTCTAGGCATTGAAAAATAGGAATAGCCCTCATCACATGTGTGGACACAGTTTGTACATTTGTTTAATCGATTGACAACAAAAAAAAAACAGAGGTTTCTAGGCATTATTTTTTGTTCCTTTCTCTATCACTGAAGCAAAATAGAAAAATCAGAATAACCAGAGGACTATGTCTCGTCACCATCAAAGGTCAGCCATTGGCCCCATTTCTTTTATTTTCTTTTTATTTTTCTTTAATTTTATTTTCATTCAGTATGATCAAAATGAGCACAGATTCATCACATCCAGTTCTTCGATCCACCCTTTTGCCTCTCTTGCTTATCAGATTTCTTTTATAGAGATTCGATTGATCAAAACCTTTTCAATCGAGCTATTCTCGAGCTAATTCGTGGGTCTTTAAAGTTTAGATCAACGGGTCAAGACATATATTCTCGACTAGATAAGTCCCTAAAGTATAGTCTTATATTCATTTGCTTTGAAGTAGCTAGACGGATGACTTCTAAGCTAGGCTTGTGCAACTCGAAGTTAAGAAGTCGAGCCTATGTTTTAGTTAGGGTTGTTAATTCTAACTTGAGATCCCTAAATCCAGACTTATTTGACCTTCTAGGATCATGCTATATTAATTAAAGATATTGTTAAGTTATGGTTAATTCTATGGAGAAAACAAATTGTTACAAGAGAAGGGGGGTTTTTATTTTATCCATACAATATATAGGGTTGAAGATTCGAATCTCTCAATCAGAAATTACATATATTTTTTTCAATCGAGCTCATTCATGGGTCTTTAAAGTTTAGCTCATTTTTAAGGCACAATTCAATCAATCAAGGCATATACTCTCAACCATGTAAGTCACTTTCTTCCCTTCCCCCACCAAAAAAGTACCGTCTTGCATTAATTTGCTTTGAAGTAGTTAGAAGGATGACTTCTAAGCCAGGCTTGTGCAACTCGAAGTTAAGAAGTCGGCCTATGTTTTAGCTAGGGTTGTTAACTCTACGAGCTATATAAACACAATCTATATTAATTTTTACCAATTATAAACTCATAAACCAAATGACATTTTAGCTATATTGATTAAAGATATTGCTAAGTTATGGTTAATTCTACTGGAAAACAAAATGACATAATAAATCAAATTTTTGTGTCAGCCTACAAATGTACCAATTACTCGGTAACCTCTTGGGTGAACCGATGACACGGTAACCCCTTAAGTGAACCCCTTTCAAGTTTTCTACCTACAAGTGTGAATCGAAGATCTTGGGAGCTATCTCAAAACATTACTTGGTATCCTCTTGGGTGAACCGATTAATCGGTAACCGCTTAAAGTGAAGCCTTTTAAGTTTTATACCTACGAGCGTGAACGGAAGTTCTTGGGAGCTATCTCAAAACATTACTCGGCAACCTCATGGGTGAACCGATTACTCGGTAACCCCTTAAGTGAAGTCCGTTCAAGTTTTCTACCTACAAGTGTAAACTGAAAATCTTGGGAGCTATCTCAAAACATTACTTGGTAACCTCTTGGGTGAACCAATTACTCGGTAACCCCTTAAGTGAAACCCTTTCAAGTTTTCTACCTACGAGTGTGAACTAATCTTGGGAGCTATCTCAAAACATTACTCGGTAACCTCTTGGGTGAACCGATTACTCAGTAACCCCTTAAGTGAAGCTCTTTCAAGCTTTCTACCTACAAGCATGAACCGAAGGTCTTGGGAGCTATCTCAAAACATTACTCGGCAACCTCATGGGTGAACCGATTATTCGGTAACCCCTTAAGTGAAGCCCTTTCAAGTTTTCTACCTACGAGCATGAACCGTAGATCTTGGGAGCTATCTCAAAACATTACTCGGTAACCTGTTATCAATGTTCACAGTACATCTATCCCTGATAAACAACATCATTTATAGAACTCGTTCATACATTTATTGAAAACGATGGTAAAATAAGTTGTTGAACTCCTATTGTCCAAATCTTGTAGAACCATCATTAAGGGGTATGCAAACCTTTGAGTGTCTCAGGTTCAGATGTCATTCACTTTTGGAGGTGAGTTAGCATATTTCCATGTTGCATGCATCATGCTATCATAACTTCTATTTCCAGCTACCTCGCTTTCGGGTACTGCCTCAGAAATCTTGTTCAGGTCGTCTTTGTCGAGCTTCACCGTCAAGGAACCGATGTTGTGCTCCAAATTCTTTATCTTGGTTGTGCCTAGTAACAAAAAAGACAAGAACAAGTCCTGAAATGAAAAGAAAGTATCTGTACGGGAAAGTAATAGGTTTATGAAAGATTTTCCATCTTTATTCTCATCGCTATAACTTTGGTAAAATTATAAATCTATTAATGAAACTTTTGTGGTTTTGTTTATTTAGTTCTTAGGTCCTTCTCTATTTCTTAGCCACGGTTTACATGTTTAAACTCTGATCATATAGTTGGGTCTCTGCCTACTATATGAATTCACATAAAAGGAAGACCTGACAAAGCAAGTTTCTATGTTATTGAAATCCAGGAGAGAGAACCAAAGTTGAGGAAGGAGAATCAATTGAGTCCTCTTTAATTCACAAAGCCTAAAGTTGACGTTTTAATATCGGTTTTCTGAAAAAAGAAATAGAAAGTCGAGCAATCAGTAAAGCTCTTTCTGTATCTACGGAATCATTAGAACCGTAGGCCACCATTAGAACTGCAAGCCTGGCCTGCTGACCCACCACTGGTCTACCACTCCTAACCAAATCAACTAATATTTAGACAAGAACAAGACTAAGTTAGCCGAAAGATGGTTATCAGTTTGAGGATCACCTGGAATTGGAACAACGTCATCTCCTTGCTGGAGAACCCATGCAAGAGAAAGTTGAGCAGGAGAGCAATGGTGCTTTTCAGCAAGCCTCTCTATTCGTGTGTAAAAGCACTTGTTCTTCTCCAAGTTTTCTTCGATGAATCGAGGATGCAAGCTCTAAGAAAAGAAGAGATAAGACACGAGTTTTGAAATTTACTTCAGACTGATAAAAAAGTTAACTAATAAAAAATTTACTTCAGACGGATAAAAAAGTGAACTAATCAAAGCATTATTAAACTCTAACCGAGAGAAATAGTGCAAAATAGATACCAATTGGCTCTCAGCAGGCAAACTTTCCACAACGGCTTTACCGGCAAAGAAGCCTCGACCGAGAGGGCTGTAAGGAACAATACCTATCCCTAGATCTCTACAAAACAATCACATGGCAACGTCCTCTTATTTAGCAAAGAAAAATATGACAGCAGCATAGGCATAAAAAAGGAGAAAAACAAGCTATGTAACTATTTGATTTTTTTCGTTTTTTGTTCTTTATTTTTGAAATTTATACTTGTTTCTCATCAAAATTCTTTGTCAATACTCCAAAAATTAAAACTAAGTTTTTACAAACTATTCGTTTTTAATCTTCAAAACTTAGCTTAGATTTTGAAAACATAGGTAAAAAGTAGATAGCAAAACAAACAAACTCATAGATAGAACGTAGAAATAGTATTTGTAAGCATAATTTTCAAAAACTAAAAACCAAAAGTCATTGTTGGAGGGGAACAAAATACTCTTTATAAAAGTATGGAAATCTCACACTAGTAGACACGTTTTAGACACGTTTTAAAAACCTTGAGGGGAAGACCGAAAGGGAATGCTCAAAGAGGGCAATATCTACTAGCGGTGGGCTTGAGCGATTACAAATGGTATCAGAGCCATACACCAGGCAAAGTGTCAGCGAGGAGATTGAGCCCCGAAGGGGGTGGACACGAGGCGGGGTGCCAACAAGGATGCTCGGCCCAAAGAAGGGTGAATTGGAGAGTCCCACATCGATTGGAGAAGGGAACAAGTGCCAGCAAGGACGCTCAGAAGGGGAGGTGGATTGTGAGATCCCACATTGGTGGGAGAGGGGAGCAAAACACTCTTTATAAGGGTGTGGAAACCTCTCCTTAGCAGACGCATTTTAAAAATCCGGAAGGAAAGCTCGAAAGGAAAAGTCCAAAAAAGACCATATTTGCTAGTAGTGAGCTTGGGCTATTACATAAGCATTGATTTAGTTGGTTCAAGGGAGGGTTCAAGTACCTCAAAACACTTGGTTTATCTTGCAGTTCGGTTATCCATTATATTTCAATACCTTAAGGGTCTATCATATACCTGCAGAGAGGAATAATCTCGTCCTCGATGTCACGTGTCCAGATCGACCACTCCATCTGTAGAGCTGTAATAGGATGAACTGCATGCGCTCTCCTTATTGTCTGTGGATTGGCTTCAGATAAACCTACATACTTAATCTTTCCCTCTTGCACCAGTTTTTTCAGCTCACCCATCTACAAATCAAGAACATATATCTCAAAACCAATCTACATAACAACAAAGTGGGGAAATGAGCAAGGGCTATTTACAGTTTCTTCAATAGGTGTAGACGTATCAGTACGATGTTGATAATAGAGATCAATGTAGTCTATATCAAGGCGTTTCAAGCTAGCCTCACAACATGCCCGCACATACTCTGGGGTTCCCTGCACTGTCATAGAATGTCCAACCCTTGTAATCCCAAACTTTGTGGCTATCTGAACTTTTTCTCTTGGTAACTGTTTCAAGGCCTGGAAAGGGGGAAATAGTGGAGAGAAGGACCTGTTTATTATGTGCTTATATTGGCTGTGAAACCTTCATTCAAAGGCAGAGCTGAGTACCTTTCCAATCAGGATTTCATTAGAATGGGGTCCATATGCATCGGCAGTATCGAAAAAAGTGATTCCCTTATTGAAAGCTCCCTTTAGTATTGAGATGCCTTCTTCATCAGATAGAGAAGAATTGTAGATTCCAGTCAAGCCCATACATCCAAATCCCAATTTTGAGACCTGAAGTTCATAAAAATATGAGAAAATAAAGCTTTTGTTCATGAACTTTTCTCATTAAACTTGAGAATGAACATTCAATGAGTTTTACCTCAAGTCCCTGACTTCCAAGTCGCACTTTGGGAATCTGAACTCCTTGCCCCCCTGCCATTATTTTCGCTCTAAATCTTGTGAGCAGAAAGTTAGTGAGTTCTTTTAGTAGTCTGATGAACCAAACCTCATACATATATATATAATCTAGGACCAAGATGTAGAGGGAATATCACGTGGGGAATCAACAAAATGACATTCATCATTGCTTACATCACAGTCTGTCACTTCAAATTAAAAATATAATATTATATTGTAACGCCCAAGGTCCACCACTATTAGTTGTTGTTGGGCTTTCCCTTTCGGGCTTCCCCTCAAGGTTTTTAAAACGTGTCTACTAGGGAAAGGTTCTCACACCCTTATAAAAGGTGTTTCGTTCTCCTCAACAATCGATATGGGATCTTACAATCCACCCCCTTCGGGGCCCAACATCCTTACTAGAACATTGCCTGATGTGCACCCCTTTCAGGGTTCAGCCTTGGCACATCCAATTGATGTGGACCCCACCAAATCTACCCCCTTCGGGGCCCAGCATCCTTGCTGGCACATCGTCTCATGTCCACCCCCTTAGGGGCTCAGCCTACCCACTGGCACATTGCCCAGTGTTTGGCTCTTATACCATTTGTGACGGCCCAAGTCCACCACTAGTAGATATTGTCCTCTTTGGGCTTTCCCTTCCGAGCTTCCCCCTCAAGGTTTTTAAAACGCGTCTGCTAGGAAAAGGTTCACACACCCTTATAAATGGTGTTTCGTTTTCCTCCCAACCAACATGGGATCTGATATATATATATATATATATATATTGGACTTCTTATTCATCATTGCTTACATCACAGTCTTTCACTTCAAATTGGAACATATAAAATATTTAGTACGTACTAAAGGGATAACCCCACTAGAAGGGATTTTTGTTTTCCTTCCAATTACTAAATTCTCTCAACCATTTTCAAGATCTGAGTACGCAAAAACCTAGCAGTTGATAAGATTAGCACAGACTGTTTAGCTGTAGAAGTCAACCTAAGGGACTATAATGCTTCCATTTCCACCGATCAAGAACAGATTCTACGACAAAATTTGTAATGCAAACGGGAAAATTAAAATGGGGACTTACCTTGATTCCTTGATTTCCCCGTTTCACTTCGATATTTGGATACTCAACCCATCAGCCAGTTTCAGAAGTCTGCATAAATAAGCACTAAAAAGTGCTGCCAACCTGTCCCAAAAATTAAGAATTTTTTTTTTTTGATACATTTGTAACTTATAGATATATTGTAACTTATCATTATATTAATTAAACTCGTAATTTATTAATAAACAACTTAGACACTAATTTAAGAATATCTCGACCATCAATCTCATCACACGTGTGGACATAATTTGTACATTTGTTTAATCGACTGACAACTAAAAAAAGACAGGTTTCTAGGCATTAATTTTTGGTCCTTTCTCTATCGCTGAAGCAAAAAAGAAAAATCGGAATAACCAGAGGACTGTGTCTCGTCTCCATCAAAGGTCAGCCATCGGCCCCATTTCTTTTATTTTCTTTTTTATTTTTCTTTAATTTTATTTTCATTCAATATGATCAAAATGAGCACAGATTCATCACACCCAGTTCTTTGATCCACCCTTTTGCCTCTCTTGCTTATCAGATTTCTTTTATAGAGATTCGATTATAAAAACTTAGTTTGTTTCCCAATAATGTTTTGAGTTTTGGCAGATTAGGCGAAGATTCAAATCTCTGAGTCGAAATTACATATATTACTTTTTCAATCGAACTATTCTCGAGCTAATTTATGGGTCTTTAAAGTTTAGATCAACTGGTCAAGACATATATTATCGACTAGATAAGTCCCTAAAGTAGAGTCTTATATTCATTTGCTTTGAAGTAGCTAGACGGATGACTTCTAAGCTAGGCTTGTGCAACTCGAAGTTAAGAAGCCGGCCTATGTTTTAGTTAGGGTTGTTAACTCTACGAGCTATATAAACTCGAGTTGCCTAAATCCGAGCTATATTAACTTTTACCAATTATAAACTCATAAACCAAATGACATTTTTGCTATATTGATTAAAGATATTGCTAAGTTATGGTTAATTCTACTAGAGAAAACAAAATGACGTAATTTTTACTTGATTTCAAATTTTGGTGTTAGCCTAAGAGTGTACCAATTACTCGGTAACCTCTTGGGTGAACCGATTACACGATAACCCCTTAAGCGAACCCCTTTCAAGTTTTCTACTTACGAGTGTGAATGGAAGATCTTGGGAGCTATCTCAAAACATTACTCGGTTCCTCTTGGGTGAACCAATAACTTAGTAACCCCTTAAGAGAAGCCCTTTCAAGTTTTATACCTACGAGCGTGAACCGAAGATCTTGGGAGCTATCTCAAAACATTACTCGGCAACCTCATGGGTGAATGGATTACTCGATAACCCCTTAAGTGAAGCCCTTTCAAGTTTTCTACCTACAAGTGCAAACTGAAAATCTTGGGAGCTATCTCAAAACATTACTCGGTAACCTCTTGGGTGAACCAATGACTCGGTAACCCCTTAAGTGAAACCCTTTCAAGTTTTCTACCTACGAGTGTGGACTGATCTTGGGAGCTATCTCAAAACATTACTCGGCAACCTCATGGGTGAACCGATTACTCGGTAACCCCTTAAGTGAAGTCCGTTCAAGTTTTCTACCTACAAGTGTAAACTGAAAATCTTGGGAGCTATCTCAAAACATTACTCGGTAACCTCTTGGGTGAACCAATTACTCGGTAACCCCTTAAGTGAAACCCTTTCAAGTTTTCTACCTACGAGTGTGAACTGATCTTGGGAGCTATCTCAAAACATTACTCGGTAACCTCTTGGGTGAACCGATTACTCGGTAACCCCTTAAGTGAAGCCCTTTCAAGTTTTCTACCTACGAGCATGAACCAAAGATCTTGGGAGCTATCTCAAAACATTACTCGATAACATGTTATCAATGTTCACATTATCAATGTTCACAGTACATCTATCCCTGATAAACAACATCATTTATAGAACTCTTCATACATTTATTGAAAATGACGGTAAAATAAGTTGAACTCCTATTGTCCAAATCTTGTAGAACCATCATTAAGGTGTATGCAAACCTTTGAATGTCTCAGGCTCAGATGTCATTCATTTTTGGAGGTGTGTTAGCATATTTCCATGTTGCATGCATCAAGCTATCATAATTTCTATTTCCAGCTACCTTGCTTTCAGGTACTGCCTCGGAAATCTCGTTCAGGTCATCTTTGTCGAGCTTCACTGTCAAGGAACCGATGTTCTGCTCCAAATTCTTTATCTTGGTTGTGCCTAGTAACAAAAAAAGACAAGAACAAGTCCTGAAAAGAAAAGAAAGTATCTGTACGGGAATTTGTATGCAGCAGGTAGAAGATAGCTCGAAAGTAATAAATTTATGAAAGATTTTCCATCTTTGTTCTTGTGCTGTAACTTCCATAAAATTATAAATTTAGTCACGAAACTTGTGTGCCTTTGGTTATGTTCTTAGGTCCTTCTCTACTTCTTAGCCAGGAAAGGGGGTTGGTTGATGATGGATATTCGGGGGACCCATGGTTTACGTGTTTAAACTCCAATCGTATAGTTGAGTCTCTGCCTACTCTACGAATTCACATAAAAGGAAAACCTGACCAAGCAAGTTTCTGTGTTATTGAAAACCAGGAGAGAGAACCGAAGTCGAGGAAGGAGAATCATATGAGTCTTTAATTCACAAAGTCTAAAGTTGTCGTTTTAATATCGATTTTCTGAAAAAAGAAATAGAAAGTCGAGCAATCAGTGAAGCTCTTTTTGTATCTACAGAATCATTAGAACCGTAGGCCCAGTTTGCTGATGCACCACGGGTCTACTAATATTTAGACAAGAACAAGACTAAGTGAGCCGAAAGATGGTTTGAGGATCACCTGGAATTGGAACAACGTCATCTCCTTGCTGGAGAACCCATGCAAGAGAAAGTTGAGCAGGAGAGCAATGGTGCTTTTCAGCAAGCCTCTCTATTCGTGTGTAAAAGCACTTGTTCTTCTCCAAGTTTTCTTCGATGAATCGAGGATGCAAGCTCTAAGAAAAGAAGAGATAAGACACAGAGTTTTGAAATTTACTTCAGACTGATCTTACCATCGTCTCAAAAAAAAAAAAAAAGTGTCCTAATCAAAGCATTATTAAACCCTAACTGAGATAGAAATAGTGCAAATTAGATACCAATAGGCTCTCAGCAGGCAAACTTTCCACAACGGCTTTACCAGCAAAGAAGCCTCGACCGAGGGGGCTGTAAGGAACAATACCTATCCCTAGATCTCTACAAAACAATCACAGGGCAATGTCCTCTTGTTTAGCAAAGAAAAAATATGACAGCAGCATAGGCATAAAAATGAGAAAAACAAGCTATGTAACAAGGCAAAAGCTAATCATTTAGGTCTCATTTCATAACTATTTGATTTTTTTCGTTTTTTGTTCTTTGTTTTTGAAATTTATACTTGTTTTCTCATCATTTCTTTACCGTATGTTTTTATCTTATTTCGAAAACGTTTGAATTCTTAGCCAAACTCCAAAAACTAAAACAAGTTTTTACAAACTATTCTATTTAATCTTCTTTGGATTTTGAAAAACAAAGAAACTCATAGATAGAACAGTTAATTTTCAAAAACAAAAAACCAAAAGTCAAAAGGTTATCAAACGTAAAGAAATTATGGTTCTCTACTCCTTGAAGAGATTCAGTTACCAATGGGTGACAACCACCAGTGATCAAGATACAGATGCAAAACATGGATAGGACCACTCAAGAGGTATAGATTTAGAGTCCAAGGTTTGAACATTGATGGAACAATTATTTCTTACTACCAAATACAATAAAGCCAAATTGTAGAGTTCCTAGCTTTGAACTTAATAAATCACAGTTGTTGGGAGAATCTGGGTTTAAAATATCAAATCATACTGATAGGTATGGCATTAGAAGGAAATTAGGAATATTATAAGGGTATATTATTAATTAGTTAGAGTGGTTGTTATGGTTTTTGGTTATAAATAGAGGAAGTGGGAAAGAGGAAAATTAAGCTCTAAGATCCCACATCGATTGGAGATAAACGAGTGCCAGCGAGGACGCTGGCCCCGAATGGCCGGTGGATTGTGAGATCCCACATTGATTGGAGAGGGGAACAAGTGTGTGAGATCCCACATCGGTTGAAGAGGGGAACGAAGCATTCTTTATAAGATTGTGGAAACCTCTCTCTGGCAGATGTGTTTTAAAACCTTGAGGGGAAGCCCAAAAGGGTAAGCCCATAGAGAACAATATATGCTAGCGGTGGGCTTGGGCTGTTACAAATGGTATCAGAGCCAGACACTGAGTGGTGTGCCAGCGAGGACGCTAGGTCATCTACTAGCGGTGGGCTTGGGTTGTTACAAATGGTACCAGAGCCAAACACCGAGTGGTGTGCCAGCGAGGATGTTGGCCCCAAGGGGGTGGATTGTGAGATCCCACATCGGTTTGGGAGGAGAATGAAACATTCTGTATAAGGATATGGAAACCTCTCCCTAACAGACACGTTTTAAAAACCTTGAGGAGAAACCTAAAAGAGAAAGCCAAAAGATGACAATATCTTCTAACGGTGAGCTTGGGCTTAGGCCAGCATAAGCATTGATATTCAATTGGTTTAAGGGTTGAGTGATCTCAAGAAAGGGAGGGTTCAAGTACCTCAAAACAGGTTTATCTTGTAGTTCGGTTGTCCTTTATATTTCAATACATCAGGGGTCTATCATATACCTGCAGAGAGGAACAATCTCGTCCTCGATGTCACGTGTCCAGATTGACCACTCCATTTGTAGGGCCGTAATAGGATGAACTGCATGTGCTCTCCTTATTGTCTGTGGATTGGCTTCAGATAAACCTATATACTTGATCTTTCCCTCTTGCACCAGTTTTTTCAGCTCACCCATCTACAAACCAAGAACATATATCTCAAAACCAATCTACAAGTACTTGTTAGTGCTATCACTAATGAAAAAAGGAACAAAAAATTAGTATAATGAACAACAAAGTGGGGAAATGAGTAAGGGCTATTTACAGTTTCTTCTATAGGTGTAGACGTATCAGTACGATGTTGATAATAGAGATCAATGTAGTCTATGTCAAGGCGTTTCAAGCTAGCCTCACAACATGACCGCACATACTCTGGGGTTCCCTTCACTGTCATAGAATGTCCAACCCATGTAATTCCAAACTTTGTGGCTATCTGAACTTTTTCTCTTGGTAACTGTTTCAAGGCCTGGAAAGGGGTTAATAGTGAAGAGAAAGACCTGTTTATGATGTGCTTATTATTGGCAGTGAAACCTTCATTCAAAAGCAGAGCTGAGTACCTTTCCAATCAGGATTTCATTAGAATGGGGTCCATATGCATCGGCAGTATCGAAAAAAGTGATTCCCTTATTGAAAGCTCCCTTTAGTATTGAGATGCCTTCTTCATCAGATAGAGAAGAATTGTAGATTCCAGTCAAGCCCATACATCCAAATCCCAATTTTGAGACCTGAAGTTCATAAAAATATGAGAAAATAAAGCTTTTGTTCATGAACTTTTCTCATTAAACTTGAGAATGAACATTCAATGAGTTTTACCTCAAGTCCCTGACTTCCAAGTCGCACTTTGGGAATCTGAACTCCTTGCCCCCCTGCCATTATTTTCGCTCTAAATCTTGTGAGCAGAAAGTTAGTGAGTTCTTTTAGTAGTCTGATGAACCAAACCTCATACATATATATATAATCTAGGACCAAGATGTAGAGGGAATATCACGTGGGGAATCAACAAAATGACATTCATCATTGCTTACATCACAGTCTGTCACTTCAAATTAAAAATATAATATTATATTGTAACGCCCAAGGTCCACCACTATTAATTGTTGTTGGGCTTTCCCTTTCGGGCTTCCCCTCAAGGTTTTTAAAACGTGTCTACTAGGGAAAGGTTCTCACACACTTATAAAAGGTGTTTCGTTCTCCTCACCAATCGATATGGGATCTTACAATCCACCCCCTTCGGGGCCCAACATCCTTACTAGAACATTGCCTGATGTGCACCCCTTTCAGGGTTCAGCCTTCTTGTTGGCACATCCAATTGATGTGGACCCCACCGAATCTACCCCCTTCGGGGCCCAGCATCCTTGCTGGCACATCGTCTCATGTCCACCCCCTTAGGGGCTCAGCCTACCCACTGGCACATTGCCCAGTGTTTGACTCTTATACCATTTGTGACGGCCCAAGTCCACCACTAGTAGATATTGTCCTCTTTGGGCTTTCCCTTCTGAGCTTCCCCCTCAAGGTTTTTAAAACGCAGATATATATATATATATTTTGGACTTCTTATTCATCATTGCTTACATCACAGTCTTTCAGTTCAAATTGGAACATATGAAATATTTAGTACGTACTAAAGGGATAACCCCACTAGAAGGGATTTTTGTTTTCCTTCCAATTACTAAATTCTCTCAACCATTTTCAAGATCTGAGTACGCAAAAACCTAGCAGTTGATAAGATTAGCACAGACTGTTTAGCTGTAGAAGTCAACCTAAGGGACTATGAGGAGAGATTTTGAAGGATAATGCTTCCATTTCCACCGATCAAAAACAGTTTCCACGACAAAATTTGTAATGGAAACGGGAAAATTTAAATGGGGACTTACCTCGATTCCTTGATTTCCCAGTTTCACCAACTCCTCAGCCAGTTTCAGAAGTCTGCATAAATAAGCACTAAAAAAGTGCTACCAAGGCGTTTCAGGGCCAACCAGTCCCACCCCAAAAAAATAGAGTTATAATAATACCCTACCAACTATATCCTACATTATTATGAAAATTGTTTGTAACTTATATACATCGTAATTTATTATTATATTGATTTAAGTCGTAAACTATTAATAAACAATTTAGACGCTAATTTAAGAATATCTCGACCATCAATCTCATCACACGTGTGGACACAATTTGTACATTTGTTTAATCAATTGACAACAGAAAAAGGGTAGGTTTCTAGGCATTGAAAAATAGGAATAGCCCTCATCACACGTGTGGACACAGTTTGTACATTTGTTTAATCGATTGACAACTAAAAAAAAGACAGAGGTTTCTAGGCATTATTTTTTGTTCCTTTCTCTATCACTGAAGCAAAAAAGAAAAATTGGAATAACCAGAGGACTGTGTCTCGTCTCCATCAAAGGTCAGCCATCGGCCCCATTTCTTTTATTTTCTTTTTTATTTTTCTTTAATTTTATTTTCATTCAATATGATCAAAATGAGCACAGATTCATCACACCCAGTTCTTCGATCCACCCTTTTGCCTCTCTTGCTTATCAGATTTCTTTTATAGAGATTCGATTAATCAAAACTTTGTTTGTTTCCCAATAATGTTTTTGAGTTTTGGTAGAATAGGCCAAGATTCAAATCTCCAAGTTGAAATTACATATATTACTTTTTCAATCGAGCTTTTCTCGAGCTAATTCGTGGATCTATAAAGTTTAGATCATTTTTATGGCATAATTCAACTAGTCAAGACATATATTCTCGACCAGAAAAGTCCTTAAACTATGGTCTTATGTTCATTTGCTTTGAAGTAGCTAGACGGATGACTTCTAAGCTAGTCTAGTGCAACTCAAAGTTAAGAAGTCAAGCCTATGTTTTAGTTAGGGTTGTTGACTCTACGAGCTATATAAACTCGAGATCCCTAAAGCCGGGCTTATTTGAACTTTTAGGATGATGCCATATTAATTAAAGATATTGCTAAGTTATGGTTAATTCTACGGGAGAAAACAAATTGTTACAAGATAAGGGGTTTTTTTATTTTATCCACACAATATATACGATTGAAGAATCTCTGAGTCGGAAATTACATATATTTTTTTCAATCGAGCTATTCTTGAGCTTATTCGTGGGTTGTTAAAGTTTAGCTCATTTTTACAGCACAATTCAATCAATCAAGGCGTATACTCTCGACCATGTAAGTCACTTCCTTCCCTTCTCCCACCAAATGGTATCGTCTTGTATGGATGACTTCTAAGTTAGGCTTGTGCAACTCAAAGTTAAGAAGTCGAGCCTATGTTTTAGTTAGGGTTGTTAACTCTACAAGCTATATAAACACGAGCTATATTAACTTTTATCAATTATAAACTCATAAACCAAATGACATTTTTGCTATATTGATTAAAGATATTGCTAAGTTAGGGTTCATTCTACTGGAGAAAACAAATTAACATAATTTTTACTGGACCTGATTGAGTTGATGGAAGATTTATTGTGCTGAGTTTCTTCCCCTTGGAAACTGCAGGGCTGAAACTGGTATCAACTTGGATAGCCATCCAATTGGCCAAGACAAAGCTGCTATGCCAAGACATGCCCCCCACTGGCCCCAATTCAACCTCTCAGTATTAGCAAACCTTCCCAAAACCTCAACCATTACCACTTGAAAAGCTAAGGTTATCACAATTATTGCCAAAAACAGCTTGCTTTTGTGTAGCCCTTCAAATATGTTCTTCTTCTCCAGCTTCCTTGCATTGAACTCATTGAAGATTTGGCATAGAACAAAAGTGTTGAAGATCAGTGTGCTCTTAACCTTCTCATTGACATTGAAGATGGAACTTCCTTTAAATTCCAAAACCAGCAAGACTGTCACTTGATACACAGCCTGAGTTATGAGATTCCTCCACATGATCTTCGTTACTAATGGATCGGATCGACCGACCGGCGTTTTCGTCATGAGATCGTTGGTGGGTAGCTCAGTAGCTAAGGCTAAAGCTCCCATGGTGTCCATGATGAGATTCACCCATAGTAGCTGTACCGCTGTTAGTGGGACTTTACCGGACGAGACAGCGGCGATGAAGTTGATGACTAATGCTGCAATGTTCACAGTGAGCTGAAATTGAATGAATTTTTGAATGTTGTTGTAAACACATCTTCCCCATTTCAAGACGGTGACGACCGATGTAAAGTTATCGTCTAAGATGACGATGTCGGAGCTCTCCTTTGCCACTTCAGTTCCTTGAATTCCCATGGAAAGGCCAATGTCAGCCTCGTGAAGAGCTGGGGCATCATTTGTTCCATCCCCGGTGACTGCCACCACATGGCCTTGATTCTTCAAGCACTGTACCATTAGAAGCTTGTCAAATGGGGAAGATCTAGCCATCACTCGGATGTTCCCAATCTTTTCTAGCCTCTCCTCAGGTGTGTAGTTTCTAAATTTTACGCCCTCCACAACTACTTCGCTGTTTGTAGCGTCGTCATCGGGATTTAGTATTCCACATTCAATTGCTATGGCTGTTGCTGTGTGCAGATTATCACCCGTCACCATTTTGATACTCACTCCAGCAGCTCTACATGATTCCACAGCTTCTCTAACTCCTGCCCTGCAAGGATCCTTCAAACCAACTATTCCGAGTAATGTCAATTCCGATTCGTCGAGTTTTGCAGGAACGTCTCGGATATCGTCGTCTTCATTCGACTTGTGAGCAAAGGCTATGCATCGGAGACTTTTTTCTGCCATGGCTGTGATTATTTCAGTCAATTGTCTTCTCATTTCACCATCAATGGCTCTAGCTGTTCCTTGTTTCTCATAGTAATATGAACACATAGCCAATATTATCTCTGCTGCTCCTTTCCAGTGTGTATTAACAAGCCTCGTCCCGTGTCGTCGTGTCGAAACTCCACTTCTCTTCTTCTCTGAACTGAAAGTCTCTACCAGGATTATCTCATGTTGTTTCTTCAGTTCATCCAAGTTCAAATCCAGGTCGAATGCCGCCCATGAAAGTATCGCTTTCTCGGTCGGACTCCCGAAGGTTTCTAGAGGCAATGAAGAAGCTGGTGTTTGAATACTACCAGTTGTGTTCAATCCAACTGCTTGGTGCAGTAATTCAACAACCTTACTGCTAATCCTTGAATTGGAATAATCTATGTTCATAATTTCATCTTCCCCAATCCAAAACTCTGTAACTTTCATCTGATTCAAAGTAAGGGTACCAGTTTTATCAGTACAAATTGTGGTTGCTGAGCCCAGGGTCTCACAAGCAGAGAGTTTCCGAACCATTGCATTATCCGCCATCATCTTTTTCATGGAGTAAGCTAAAGTTAAAGTAACAGCTAGAGGCAAACCTTCCGGAATCGCCACCACAACGATTGTAACAGCCGCCGCAACCATGCCAAGAACTGCATTCATAACATCATCGAACCTCGTCTTGCTTCCATTGAACTCGCCGGTGCTACCAGTGAAATAGCGAACCAGCAGAACAAGAAGCACCACCACGGCGACCGTCAGTCCTAGCTTCCCGATAATGGCGGTCATCTTGTTCAGACGACCTTGCAATGGAGTTTCCTCATTAATTTCCCTTCTAATTGAACTCATCATTTCTCCCCAGGCTGTGTTCATTCCCACAGAAGTCACCATCATCACACCAAATCCATCGTTCACTTTGGTTCCTGATAGCAGAAATGGATTAATTCCGTGATTTACTTCAGCGTGTTCGCTCTCTCCAGTCATGCTCGATTCGTCGATCTTCAGCGAATGTCCATCGAGGAACACTCCGTCCGCGGGAATCTGATCTCCGATCTTCAAATACACGATGTCTCCGACAAGGAGTTCGAATATCGATACTGATTTGCGTCGACCGGCTCTGGTGACCTCGATTTTTATATCATCTCTCTCGTTTGAAAGCTTCTCGAACTGTCGCGATTGCTTGAAGTTGCTCGCGGCGGAAACGACGACCACCAGAAATATGGCGATGACAATGCTGCCACCGTCGTACCATCCATCATCCCAACCGTGTTGTTTGATACCAAATCCCAAAGAAAGCACTGCACAGATCAATAGAATGATTATTGTTGTATCGTTAAACGCTTCGATCACGTAACTAAAGAAGCTTTTGCCGTGGCGCTTCGAGTAAGTATTTGTTCCAAAAGCGTTTGTTCTGTAAGTTAGATCATCCTGAGTTGCACAAATTCCGTCATGTGGATCAGTTTTAAGAAGATTGGCCAGTCCATCAACGCCTCCAAATCGATTCAAACACTCACAGTCCTTCTCCCTCACCATCTCACTTAGAACTTTCTGATCTACGCCGAAAAAGCCTGCCATGCACGGCTGCTCGCCAGAATCCGTACTATCATCATTAACCTGCACATCAAGAGTAACAAACGAAAGTGACGGCAAAAGAGCGCCGGATTTACGGTCAGTGACCTTCCTCGTCAGAGAGATGAGAGCTCTAGTGAAATAAATGGCGGCAAAGGCCATCTTCCACCTCCGTTTGTGAGTTTTAGCCATAACCAGGCGTTCTTCACGATTAAGAACTTCAACTACCTCATCACTTTTCCTGCACCTCAACGCCATGGACGCAACAACAAATTGATTTTGATGAAGAAATCAAAGGATGAACAAACAGAAAATGAATTGGATTGAAGAAACCCATGGATTTACTTCCTTCTTATAGGAAAGAAATTAAGCGACGAACTTCCACTGTAGCTTCCTTCCTAACCGTTTATGGATTGTGCGTGTTTGAGAAATTAATCGAATGTTTAAGGAAATTTATTATTATTATTATTATTATTATTATTATCTAATTTATTACAGTTATATAGTTTGGTACAATATTCGAAATTTGGTCGAAATTTCCTAAAAATTCTATTATTATTTCCATCCTTTATCTAAATTTGTTCAATAGTTTAATTTGACTAATAGATTTCAAGTTTGAATATTTGAACTTATTCCAACAAAAAAAAAAAAAAAAATGACGTCAACTTTTTTAACCGTGCCATTAGGTTTTTAGCGATCATCAATCTTATGCTCGGTGCAAAGACTACGCGACCATCTGTAAATAATTGTTTAGGTCTACTCGTTTCGTTGTGATTAGTAGGCATTTGTTCACTCAAACTTGTGGCTAAAATTTAATCTGTGCACTTAGGTATTCTCTACCTACCGAGCTATTCACGAGGAGGCCTTTTGTAGGTCGTTCTAATTTTTCTATAACTTCGTAAACTGTTAGTATTTTACTTCAAAAAATACTCAAACAAAAGAAAGTCATTAACTTCCTTACCCGTGTCATTAGGCTTTAGGCGATCGGTCAGTCTTATGCACGGTCTAATAACTTTACGAGGACTTGTAAAAAGTTGTTCAGGTCGAGTCATCGCGATTCCTTTTATGATGAGGAAGCCATTGATCGCTCGTAGACATGTGGCTATAATTTATCTTGTGACATGAAATTACTTTTATACCCTTGTTTTGATTTTATTATAAATGTAATTTATTTAATTTTATAGATTTTTAACAAAATTCTAATATGGTTAGTTATTTATGGTGTGAAATTAATAAAAACATTTGATTTGTTTTTAAGATATTATTTTAGTTTAAAAAATATTAAAAAAAATTATATGAATTATCTCGCGTTTAAAAATGATTTATTTAATTCTTTTTAGCGAATGGTGTTATTAAAAGATAATGTAATTTAATAACGTAATTTATATGATTTAAAATATAATCTATCATATAAATATAAATTTTTGTATTGACCCTACTTTGACCTATAACATTATAAATAATAATATTAGGTGAAAGGACATCAGGGATTGTGAGAAAGGGACCCGGTCAGAGACAAATAATATAATTTCGTTCCCCGTTTAGCCAACATAAAAAGGAAAAAAACTTTTTCCGCCCTCTTTCACATTCTCGTTCGTACGTGTTATATATATATATATATATATATATATATATATATATATATATATATATATATAGATATATATTTTAAAATTATTTTTGGAATAAAAAATATTTAGAATTGACAGAAATATAATATTATAATTTTTAAAAGAATTATATATATATATTTTAAATAAGGTATATTTTGTTTTATAAATTAATGTTTAAATATGGGTAGAAAGTTATTTAGAAATTAATTAAATAGTAAATAAAAAATTAATGAAATTAATTATTATTATTATGAAAAATGATAAAATTAAAATTCTATGAAATTTCTTTTGTAAATGGAAGGAACTTTCTTTGGAATTTTGGATAAGTCAAAGCGTCAAATTACTTCCTTACAAGGGAACGTTTATTTTGAGAAAATTGAAAAACGTCTAGAAATTAATAATTAAAAATAAAATTCTTCAATTTTATTTTATTATTCATAAAATAAATAATCTTTTCTCTTTTTTTTTGGTTAGTCAAATAAGTTAGCTATTTTATTAATTTTTTTAGTGTAACAATGTATTCTGATTCACACGGGATTTCACATGGCCTGTACTACTCAGGTCAAAATGTAAGTTAGTGGTGCTTCTGATTACAGTACTCACATCATACGGGATTCCACATGTACTATGCTACTCATATCAAAATGTAAGTTAGTAGTGCTTCCAGTTGCAACACTCACCGTCTCACCTAGCACCACATTACATGAGATTCCATGTGTCCCATGCTACTCGTGTCAAAATGTAAGTTAGTGGTACTTCTGATTACAACACTCACGTCATACGGGATTCCACATGTATCATGCTACTCAAGTAAAAACATAAGTTAGTAGTGCTTCCAGTTGCAGCACTCACTGGTTCACCTAGCTCCACATCACACGAGATTCCATGTGTCCAATGCTACTCGTGTCAAAATGTAAGTTGGTGGTGCTTCTAATTACAGCACACATATCATACAGGATTCCACATGTACCATGTTACTAAGGTCAAAACGTAAGTTAGTAGTGCTTTCAGTTGCAGCACTCACTGGTTCACCTAGCTCCACATCACACGAGATTCCATGTGTCCAATGCTATTCGTGTCAAAATGTAAGTTAGTGGTACTTCTTATTGCAACAATCCCGTCATACAGGATTCTACATGTACCATGCTACTCAGGTCAAAACGTTAGTCAGTGGTGCTTCCCAATTCACCTAGCACCACAGAATTCCACTTGTCCCATGCTACTCGTGTCAAAACATAATTTTTTCACTGTAAAATTTTGTGTATGTATTATCCTCAAAATGAATACAATTCAACCATAATTCACGTGTATCATTGACCAAGAGACTAGAGGTTCATATCTATATCTCGAACATTTACTTTATATATATTTATTATTATTATTTTATTTATTTATTTTGTGCGAATAATGATGTCATTCACCCAAGGTAAGAGGCATGACTCATTGTACTTTATCTACATTGACCGTGGACTTTTATTGACCTAGATGCATTTTGGTCTTTTCCCATTGGAATGTTTCCAAGTCAAATAAAAAAAATATTAATAAACTTTATCTTATAAAAAAAATAATAATAAAATTTTGATTAAATTAGGTAATAATCTCGACTAATATAGACTACGTGATAAAATGTCATAAAACTATGATATTAAATTCTGTCGACATTTTCATCAATATTTCTATATGTTCGTGAGTTTGACATCATTATTCCATCGTAATATATAAATTTATTAAATATAAGAAAAATATCGTCGATGTGAACGAAAACGGTTAGTACTTTGTTTAAAAAATATATATAAAAAAAAAAAAAAAAGTCTCCACCTCCCGCCCATATTGTTCTCTATGGAGTTTCCCTCAAGGTTGACCCTTCATCGTCCCCAACCAATGTGAGACATCATGATCCCCCCCCCTTTGGGCCCAGCGTCCTCGTTGACACTCTTTCCTTTCTCCAATCGATGTTAGGACTCCCGCCAAATTCACCCTCCTTTGGGGCCAACGACCTTACGTTACTTTTGGGGAACAGTCTCCTCGCTGACACATAGTCCAATGTCTAGCTCTGATACTATTTGTAACGACCCGAATCCACTGTTAGCAGATATTGTCCTCTTTAGGCTTTCCCTCAAGGCTTTAAAACGTGTTTGCTAGAGAAAGGTTTCCATATCCTTAGAAAGAGTGTTTTGTTCTCTTCCCAACTAACGTGGGACATCACGGCTATTAATGAAACTTTTGAAAACGATATTTTTTAAATAGTTTTAAAAATTTAAAAGTATTCTTTAAACAAAATATTATCGGTTTCCTGTCTCAAACTAACGGTTAAAGTTCAAAATTTAAGAATATTTTGAGACAAACGCATGACGGTGGTCAATAAATCATAATGTTTTTTTTAATACAAATTAAAATTATTAATTATAATAAATTTTTATTTGTAGACAACCTGGGCAAATGACAACTCAGGGTACTCCATATCCATGGGACCACAAAAAAAGGACCGTTTTTGTTCTTTTTTATATTTTTAAAATTCTAAAAAGGGACAAATGAAATGTAGATCCTTTATAAGGACCACAAGACATTGTCTCTTTCTTGATAGTTATTTTATTTTTAAAAATTGGGCGGGTTTTCGCACGAATAGGTCGCGCGGGAAGCAACGATATTACAACATGAGTTCGATGGAGATTCAACCAAATGTTTTTACCATACCTAAAATTTATCATTACAACAATGCTGAAACCATATAAATATTCATAAACGAGATCTAAATATGAAGAATGAGTAAAATGACTGAATGACTACAGGTATGAAAGAAGCATTTTCAACGGGATCCTGAAACGCACCAGCCACCCCGACCTAATTCATGATGAGCCCACCAACTTCTTGGCAAGATACCTACAGTTAAAAAGCACCGATCCAAATTCAAATGGGTTCCTGATCAGACCACTATATTTGCGCTCCCGATTCAATAAAGAAGCGAAATAGTAGTCTCTTTCTTTGCATTACGAACGACACGCTTCGCCTGCTCCCTCTCCATGTCCACTAGCCCTCAAGAAATTAATTGGAAAGTTTTATTACAAACTAGACAAGAACATGAACCTGCTAAAGGAACCACATGTTTCCTTCTGTGGAAACAACAGGATGTGTTGTAACAAAATTGAATAGAATAGTAAGCATATAAAAGTATCCAATAACATCAAAATACTAGCAACTTTTGGTAGTAACATCTAATTAAGCTTCGATTGCACCGAGGCAGCCCGACCAGGTTATCCGGGTCTTAACTAATTACTCTTTACCATCAGCAGAACGGAGTGAGCCGAGTTGAACCGGGGCTTGGGTACCAACAACCTTTGATGATCCATAAACTGAGAGGTCAATGCCTTCAGACTTTTCTTTTTCAATCTGTTCCTTGATCCAAAAGTAGGTAATTCTCAAACCATCCTACACAGGTAGAACACAATACACAACAACTGATGAGCACGGGAAAGCGTAGGCGACGAAAGTTATGAAGAACTTTTAATCGTCGAGGTTAAACGAAATGACAACTTTTTTACCTTCAACTTCATGGTGGGAGCCCATCCGAGTTTCTCTTTAATGAGTGTGTTGTCTGAGTTACGACCACGAACACCCTCGGGACCAGGGATGTGGTGAATTGGAAGGTTTTTGTCGTCGAAGCTAAGAACGATTGCAGCCATTTCGTTCATGCTGACCATCTCATCGCTGCCAATGTTCACTGGCTCGCAGAAGTCCGATTTAGTCAATCT